AGTTGGTACAGATGTTGGTCCTGAAGTTGGCCCAGATGTAGGACCACTAGTTGGTACAGCTGTTGGTCCTGAAGTCGGTCCCGATGTGGGGCCATTTGTTGGTTCAGAAGTTGGCATGCTAGTTGGTCCAGACGTTGGTCCGGCAGTAGGCCTTGATGTTGGAATCGATGTAGGTCCAGAAGTAGGCCCAGAGGTCGGCTCAGAAGTAGGACCACTTGTGGGACCAGATGATGGTGCAGAAGTAGGTGTACTCGTTGGTCCTGATGTTGGTCCAGAAGTAGGTCCACTTGTTGGCATCGATGTTGGTCCGGAGGTAGGGCCGTTTGTCGGCACTGAAGTTGGCCCAGAGGTTGGTCCTGATGTGGGACCAGAGGTTGGGCGACTGGTTGGTACACTCGTTGGACCTGATGTCGGAGTAGAGGTGGGAGCAGAAGTAGGTTCAGAGGTTGGTCCGCTTGTCGGCCCTGATGTGGGCAGCGGCGTGGGTCCACTTGTGGGTCGAGATGTGGGTCCCGAGGTAGGTTCAGTGGTAGGTCCAGAAGTCGGACCAGAAGTAGGTCCAGAAGTAGGCTCACTTGTTGGGACTGATGTTGGTCCAGAAGTAGGTCCACTCGTTGGCCCTGATGTTGGCCCAGAGGAGGGCCTTGAACTCTCTGTAGGCCCTGAGGTTGGACCCGAGGTAGGGCCACTCGTTGGACCAACGGTTGGACCAGATGTTGGGTCGTTCGTTGGCGTACTCGTAGGTCCACTGGTTGGAGCAAAGGTGGGACTTGATGTTGGTGCACTCGTTGGACCACTTGTAGGTCCACTCGTTGGCCCGGATGTTGGTCCAGGAGAAGGCCTCATACTCTCCGTAGGTCCAGTGGTTGGCCCTGAGGTTGGTCCAGAGGAGGGACTCAAACTTTCCGTCGGTCCAGTCGTTGGACCGGATGTTGGGTCGTTTGTGGGCGTACTCGTAGGTCCAGTGGTTGGAGCAAAGGTGGGACTTGATGTTGGTGCACTAGTAGGTCCGGAGGTTGGTGCACTCGTACTGGTAACACCTTGCAATTGTCGTAGCCTCTCCTCCTCGGTAGTTGCTGCCGCTGCCACAGCCGCCAATTTACTGCTCGATACCTCAATCTGAGCATTGCCACCATGTGGAGCATTCGCATCTATAGATATCACTGAAACGGTTACCCATTCTGTCGTTCCAGCCCAGTTGGAAAATGTGGTAGAAGCACCTTGCGCGAGCGTTGCCACCAAAAATGTGTTCGCATCACTGGCGGTTGTTGTTGTTTTGGTAGTGGTTATCGTGACAGACTCGTTCATATGCTCGTTAACGTTCGCGGCCAGTGATGTGTGATTGTACATGATGTAATAGTCCATTAGAGAGTTTGTCAGTTTCACGACAAGATGTTCTCCACTCGACAGGTTTGGGACTCTGTCTACCCCCACTAGAGTTCCCGTAAAGTTTGTTGTGGTCAAGGGATCAATCTCGACGTTGTACGAAGTGTACCTTTCTAGCTGCCAGAATTGGGCACCATTTGCTGGAAGACCTGGAGCTATTGGAAATGGCCTGTCGGGGTTTCGTCGTCTTTCGTCCGGATCGCTATCATTATTATCCTTTTCTCGTTGCGCTTGTGCTTGTGATTGTTGTGCTTGTGCTTGTTTCTCACTGTAGTGTTGGCCAATAAGAAATTGAGCTGGCCATGGTCTAGTAGGTGCCACTAATTGATAGATGGTAGAGAAGAGACGAGATCGTAAGTCTGTAGGTAATTTTTCGGGCAAGGCTGTTGTTGTGTACAACGCCTGGAGTAGCAAGAGAGCCCGCAACATGCTCGTCGTCATCCTCTTCATCATTGTTGCTTGGTTTTGGTTTGGGTTTTTCGAGTTTCAAAATTGACCATTTTCAAGACCAACAAAATTCGACGACTTGATTATTGGCCGGTTTGAATTGGTCCCTATGTGTTGAAAAAGGGCATAACTGCAATATTTTTCGTTTCCTTAGATGTCAAAACTGCACAGATCACTCTAGATTGAGAAGTATCCTTTTCTCACGTCCCATACTTAGGGATATGCATCGAAGTCCGTGATTGAATTTGATGACCCATAACAATAATGGCTTATTTGTTTCGTTTTAAAGTGGAGGAATGTCTCCCTTTCTAAAATCGTAAAATCCGTGAATGGAAAGGTGTTTCGCGCATTTCTGGTTCTCACTTTTTTCAGAATTAGCGCGGTTTGTATGTGCAATGGTGGTGGTCGTTGTTGGTCTTGTCTTGTATTGGACACCTTCTACTGCATAGTAGCCTCCCCAGAATTATAGGTACCTGCATACCAAGATACTGTATTATATATACATATATATCACATATACATGACGTAACAATTCACGTTCCCAAGATGCTCTCAAGGGGTAAGTGAGTCAGTCAGTTAGTCAGTCTACCATGGATTGCCATTCGACTTCGACTCTCGAGACACACCGAGTTGTGGTAGTGGGTGGTGACAAAAAGAGGCGATTCATTCTATGCGACATGGAAATACTATAGTGGTGGTACCCAAGCAGTATAATAAGATTCATTTATTTATTTCATTCATTCATTCATTCGACAATCAGCTGTCGAGACGAACCATACACAAATGTTTTTTGAACCGACAATCACACATCAACATGAGAGGAAGGGATACTGCCAGACGTACAGAACTTACAAATGTTCATTCATGAATCGAATGAAAAGCTTGTGTGGGATGATACCTTGCCATAATGTAAAATCATGAATGCAAACAAAAAAAGGTAGTACAGTATGCTTGCAGGGACAATGGGATAGTGTATCTAATCTATGTTTATCTATTTAGAAAAAAATCTAATAGGCTCCAGCCATGTCCAAGTCTTGAGTGGCAAGGATATCGTAGACACAGTCCTTGCGATCGAGCGCATCCATGAGACTGGCACAGGCTTGTTCGGCATCTTTTTGTTCAATAGAAGATTCCTCCAATCGACGACGAAACCGTTCCCCTTGAGGATCTTCTGGCTCGATGCAATGCTTTGGGAATTGTGGTTGTTCGACAATGTGAAACATCATATCCTCGTATGGAAGGACTTGCCATTCGTTTCCAAAGCGGAAAAAGTCGTCATGGACCGTGGCGCCATCACGGCCAAACGTCTTGCCAGTGTGGAAATCACCAAGAAGACCAACCGAGTTGCCAAACGAGGCAGCAGAGGCGTTCTGAAAGTCAACACGGATGAACTCCTTCCAGGCAGCTATTTCAATCTTCTCACCAGGGAAGATGGGACCCAAATCGATCTCGAGTCCACGCTTGTAGTGGCTGTATTCTCTCTTCTTGATGATAATGGGAAAGCCACCAAGAGTTTTCATGGGAGATTGGAATTCGAGATTGTACCAGTAACGAAGGTCAGAGGTGGTGGTGCTGGGATCAGCTGAACCCTCCACTTCAAGGATATCGTCACCAATACGAATGGCAACACTCTTGATGTAACTCCAGTAACGAACAAGTTTCGTGCGGATTTGGATTTCAATTCCCAAACCATCGGCAAAGCCAGGATCCTTGACGAGGATCATATCACACTGTCCATGGTATTCATAATGCTCATTCTTCCAAGTCTTGACTGTAATTAATTGAACAAAGGAGAAGAGAGGAAAGGAAAGACAATTAGTTAGCAACACAACTCAACAAGGGTTTTATGCGATAGGATATAACACTTACAGTGAGGGTCTCCGTTGGATCCAGCTGGCGTAGTAACGACTGTTGTGTCTGGACGATCCGCTAAAGCTCCTGGGAATACTTCAACATCTGCAGTTCCAGTGGTGCTGTCGTCAATGGCTGTCACATAAATGGTAAAAAGGGATACACCATCGGACGACTGGGCTGTGAACCAAGCACCAGACTGCAACTCGGCCAACAAGAAGGTTTTGGCCTGAGCATCGTTCTCTTTGGAAGTAACGGTGACTGTATTCACTCCCTCGACAGTTCCTTCATTTGCTCCAATGGCATGATTGTACATCACATAGTAATCTTGAATAGGGTACGCGAGTTTGAGAACGACCTTTTCCTCAGGGCCCACGTTGGGGAGTTTCCCAACACCTGCCAGTTTCCCGATGTATGCTGTTGTCAATGGATCGATTTCCTCTTCGTAGGCTGTGTACCATCCCAATTGCCAGGAGTGTGCACCGTTGAAGCAATACTTGTTTCCAAAGATTTCATCATCAAGATTGAGTGTTGAATATCCCATGACTCCAGTCATATCCCCGTATTCGATATTGCAGTAACCACCAGCCGTTCTGTCTTCAATACAGTCATTCTCATCGGAGGCATGCTGCAATCCCCAATTGTGTCCGACTAGCATGTGTGGTCAGGTTAGAATACAGTACAGCATTCGTTATAAAAGTATCATAGGAAAGTCAAGCCAAACATACCTTCGTGCAAGTGGGTTGACGGATCATTGCACTGATCATCTCCATTGTAGACAGACAACCATCCTCCGACGTAAGCATAGGCAATCCATCCGATTGAGTTATCTGATGGGCGGAATGTACCCTGTGGTACACACATGAGGACATTATCAAATCTGCTACCAAGATCATTGACATAAAAGAGATCCTCCAACTGGTTTTCGACCAAGTCTTCAAGATCGAACCGATTGAGTCCATTGGCGTTTACGTTTACGGAGATGTCAATGACACCATCCGTAATCATGATATCGTTGTTGTAACTTTGGGGAGTACCACCGCTACAGATACAGCAAGCTTCTCGGGCGCTTTGCCCACTTCCGTTGACATCAATAAAATCTCCATAGACAGCAGAACTACATTCGTCTCGTCCATCGTTTTGCTCCATCTGGTTTACAAACCAGTCACAGTCTGCAGCCTCTCCAGTTGTGGTTGTCCCAGCGCTATAACCAGTGTTATCAGCGCATCCAGTTCCAGATCCCGTTCCAGGGGTAATGGTGATGGCATTGTTGGAACACGCTTCCGTTTGGGATTTGAAATTCACAAGGTCAGTTCCAGTTCCAAACAAATCATCACTGATCCCAGCAGCGTCTTTGGTCAAAGAACCATCCTTGGTGGTCACTCGGACCACTAGAACTTCTAGAGGTCCAGTTTTGGCCGATAGCTTTCTTCTTGAAGATGAAGAAACGATTTCACCAAACGAAAGGGTGTTGCTGGCAATAATTGTAAGAGTGCGATCAGACAAGATGGCACCCTCGGCAAATAATGTTGTAACGCCACTTTTGATGTCTGGTTTGGCAGCTAGGACGAGATCGATTCCATCGATAGCTACCATGGCAGAACGGGCGGTAGAAGAAGCGCCAGCACTTTGGGCGTCCTTTGAGGAGACCTTACATTCCCAGTCACTCCCATCCGATCCATCAGTATAATCTGTCTCCCGAATGAAAAGAGTACAGGGAAGCTTTTGCGCGTTGGCTTGGACTCCAGTTGAATCCTAAACGTGCCAATATGTGAACAAGTAGGGCAAATTTTCAGTGAGTGCCAAGTGCCAATGACTAAATGACTTTCAAGACAAGACAAAACAATTCATTCATTTGGCAATATCATGAGCAACAAAAACAACAAGCTTCAACTTACAGGTGTATCACTGATATCATAGGGCATGTTCCCCGCAGCAGACGTTGCTACGTAGAACGCAAGGAAGAGGAAAGCACTTTTCAAAGCATCCATTCTTACAATTTACTCGGATCCAAATGATGAAAAGATCAATGCAATGGGTTTGAATAATTTCAATTTGGATGGGTCAGTTGAGAATAATGCGCGGTTAACGGGGAAATACTGAAAATGAGACCAAAGGGTCTTGCTTCAACAGTCTCTTTAGATAAAAAAGGACGGGCTCTAAGTCGAGATAATTCTGTAAAGTGACAAAGTGGATCGTGCAGGATAAATACACAGAAAATGTACAGTATTGGCGAATGCAGGCTGAGTTGTGGCCAGACGGTACTGAAGTAGTGACGCATTCTAATAAAAGACCTGCGATTTTTTTTTGCTTGGGCAAAGATCTCCGCACACATACGGATCTACAGTATACCTACAATTGCTACAATATACGTTTGACAACAACAAATCCCCTTGGAACAAAGACGGCATTGCTTCTTTGATTGTCTCTCCTGAAAAACACTGAAACAACACAACAAAGTGCAAGATGGACTTCTTCAGCGAGGTCCTTCAGGACCCATGGAAGATTGTAGCTGCATTTGCACTTGCTCTCCTCGTACACTCTCTTTTGACATTCATTAAAACTCCAAAGAATGCACCTCCCTTTTACAGGGAACAGCCGTACATTCCGTGGTTAGGTAGTTTGGTCCAGTTCGCAACTGGCCCACGAGAATTTCTCCAGAGGGCTGCAAAAGCCAAGGGTAATTGCTTTACGATCCAGCTCTTTGGACAGCAAATGACTTTCTTGTCAGGTTCTGAGGGGCACCAGCATTTCTTTCGGTAAGTTCCGGCCACCCACGTGCCTCACATGAGTGGAAACACAAACAGAGCTTGCATTATTCTGACTACTCTTTCGCCATTCAATTAAAGTGCCAAGGAGAAATCGTTCGATATAAGAGAGGCTTATGCTATGACAGTAATCACATTTGGGCCAGGGGTTTGCTACGATTGTCCACAGAGTAAAATGGCTCAGCAATTTGCCTTTTTCAAGGATGGCCTATCAGATGCGCGCTTCATTGAATACATGGAGCTAGTTCAGGATGAAGTTGCAACGTTTTTTGATCAGGAATGGGGCGACGAGGGAGAAGCAGATTTGCTACAAAGTCTCTCTGATCTGTATACTCTAACGAGCTCTCGTTGCCTATTGGGAGAAGAAATTAAGAAGCGTTGGAAGTCTTCTGGAATGGCTGAACACTACCGTAAGACTCGCGTTGTAGATCGTTTTGCAATTTTGATTCCATCTAACGGCGGCTTGTTGTTCTTTGATATCCAGTTGCCCTTGATCACTCTTTTGTGCCTATCTTGTTCTTCTTCCCATCATTGCCAAACCCACACAAGAACAAGTGTATTAATGCCCGAAAGCTCTTCACAAAGATCTTTCAAGAAGTGATCGACGAGAGAAAGGAAAAAATGAAAGCCGACTCTGACTACAAACCACCGCAAGACTTTTTGCAAGTCCTTATGGAGGCAAAGTACCGCGATGGAAAGAGCTTGACAATTACTGAGATTACAGGTATCTTGGTGGGAATATTGCTTGGGGGTCAACACACTTCAAACGTAACTGGAACTTGGTTAATGTCTCATCTCTTAAAAGAAAAGGAATGGTTGGAAAAGGTGATGGAGGAGCAAGACAGTATCTTCAAGGACAAGGAAGGCAAACTTCACCCCGCTACCCTGAGTTTCGAGGAGGTACAAAAGATGCCAATATTCGATCAAGTTCTGTCAGAAACGCTCCGACTTCACCCTCCCTTCTTTCAGCTGTCGCGTGCCGTGAAGGAAGCTTCGACGTTTGGAGACTATGTCATCCCCGAGGGACATATCGTCAATATTTCTCCAGGTGCCGCGCATCGCCTCCCAGAACTATGGGGCGAGAACGCAGAAGACTTCAACCCATCTCACTTTACTGCAGAGGCCAAGAAAGAACACAAACCATATTCTTGGATTCCATTTGTATGTTTTCGTCAATGTATGTGAATTTTATTATTTTTGCCGACATCATGCTCACAGACTACAATCTTTGCAGGGTGGAGGAATGCATCAGTGTGGAGGTCGTAAATTTGCGTGGAATTCGCTCAAAGTCAGTTTGACCTGGTTGCTTCGGAACTACGAACTTGAATTTGTTGGGAAGGGTGCCGAAGAGCTTCCAAAGGAAGACTACACCACGATGGTTGTGGCACCAACAAGTTCACACACTCGCGTCAAGTATCGCCGACGCAAAAATGCCTAAAGCCAAATTAAATGGCATGCCTTCCCCCCCCCCCTAGTCACCTTGCACACCGAAATTGCATTTTCTAGGACTACTACTGTAGTTTCGAATTTCTTTTCGCAGCTTTATAGGTTACAAGCCGCTGTCAAGTAGTTGGCTGGTATCCATTCCATTGCATGACTGCCCTCTTGGACAGTGGCGTGATGTAATGACTGCACCGCAAATGAAAGGCCGAAGAGCTCAAGAGACTCACAAAAAATTCCTTCGAGGCCTCCATCTCAATCTATATCTTCCGGTGAAGAGACTGAACAATTCAATATATTGGAATAATCGGTATGCCTTCATTGTCATGTTGTTCGTTGTTGACCAAACAGCTAGTGACCAAATTGAAAATAGCATTGCTCTGCCTAATAGCCATGGATACAACCGAGCTTTGAAGAGCCCCAAGCGCTTGAATGCACCTTTCCTCTCACAAGGTTCTGTAACGCCACATTGGAGCCGCCAGGTGGAACTTTGAATATTCATCTACCCATTAGGCCAAACACAGTACCAGGCGACATATTACCCCGACTCTCCTGTTTCGAGTATTGACTCCGGTGCACTTTCTGAAATAACGCTTGATGGATGGGAGGATACCTCCCCTGCCATATTGATGCCAGTTTTTGTGGGGGGCGGTTCTTGTGCATTTTCTGGAACAGGCACGTGTGTTGACTCAGCACGTGAGGCCAGCTCGCCTGCAGTACCAATTCGGGATTGCGCCAAAGACCCTTGGCTAAATCGACTCATTTTGTTTTGTTCGGAGCGTCGCACTTCTTTGCCAAAGATGCACCGTCGAGCTGCCCAGAGGCGCGTCTCATCACGGAACTTGCGGCGAGTCTGGAGGTACTTTGGTCGAAAGAAGATCAAACAATTCCAAGCCCCTATTTCACAATATTTGTTAGCCATTTTCTGAAACATTTCCTATTCGTACTTCCCATTCAATCATGATTCATATGGTCAACAAGAGGATCTTACCTTGAGATGGGAGTAACAGCGACTGGAGAATTAGCATTGGTAGAAAATAGGCCCCGGAACCCTCAACCTTTTCGAACTCTTGGCTGTCGAGGATTTGCTTCAGAATGGCCCAAAAGTAACACGAAATGTAGGCCCAGACGTATAGGAAGGATTGTTGACCCACTTCTTTCACTCGTTTCCACTGTTTGTCAGTTGATCGCAAGACGTTTCCCGAAGCTCTTTGATTACTCTTTTCATCAATTCGACTTAAGGATTGGGTCCCCGCAACCCCTGATCCATGTCGATAACTAGCCAACTTGTATTCGTTTTCTTTAGCCTTTCTTTCCCCTTCTCGGACGGTAGATCGCACGTAGCAGAACAAAAGCATATTACAGACCGAGATGCCCAAGAAACTGATGAGAAAAGGTAGTCCCCCCAGGGCATATGCTAGCGTAACCGCATATTCAGTAAAGCCGGTACATTCACCATTTGGATAGCAGTTGACCCAACATCCAGGACCAAGAGGGTTTGGATGGAAAATATCCATTACAAGCCCCGCAATAGGCGTCGCGATTGACCAGAGAAGAATGAAGCCATGAATCCATTTTTCATATTTTTTGGCAAATTCCGTCTCCCTCATTCCGTATCGAATAGTCGAGACAAAGTAAAACGCGAGAGCTGCTGAATAAAAGTGGGCTGAGAATCCGAATTGCGTCAGTGCTCCCACTGCGGCACAACTCTGTTTGTTTCCAAAAGCCCAAACAAAGGAATTCGGGTAGCCTTGTAGTGCCAAGAAGGGTTGTAGAGCATAGCCTATCGTAGAGATAATGTCGCATGCGGACATGGCAAGAAGGATTCGACGGTCTAAAAAGAGAATGTAAGCACACCGGTGCTCCAATACTGCAGTCGCACGAGAAACAGGAAGAACGTACATGGTGATTGCTTCTTTCTGTGATTGTACATGACGTAGAAAATGATGATTGCAGACCCGCATACTGAAAGGACTGCCGTTGGAACCATGAGGATACTGATCCATTTTTGCTGATTCGTTGTTGGGACATATGAGTATTCTTCATTGTCTTCGTCCATGTTGACTCCTGGTATAGTCTGTGTTGCCCTAGGCTTCTGCAGTGATGCTACTGTAGTTGTGCCGAGATGCGACGAAAGGGAACGCAGAAACGCCCCGCAAAGTCTTGATCGCAGCCACTTTTCTGTAGACACAAAAGTAGATAAATCTATTCCAAAACCGCGAACATAATTGACAAAAGATACACGACCGAGATTGAATATTTTATATATGATACATATGAGCGTTTCGAATTTTCAAAATGCGGTTGCACATCGTATATTCATCTGTATCCCCTCCACGATTTGGGGAACAAGATCCGACTGATGAACCCCAAATAATGTAGATTTTTGAAAACAAAATCGAGAGGCAACAATATTCAATCCTCTACATCTTCCAACCAAAGATGTTCAAAAGCAAATTCGTAGCTAGGAGCAAAGTGATCAGTCAACATTTCGGGATGGACCCTGACATATGAATAGTTCTGTAGCATTTCTTCTGGAGTAAAGCATTCCCAATCGTAGAATCCTTCCCTCTTCTCCTGAAGCCATATTGTTCTTGCAGCAGGAACTTGCAGTTCTGGTGCACCTGTCAAGGCCACTTCAAACGGTTTCCATTCATTGTGATGTTTCATGATTGCAGGTGTCAGTTTCTCCCACCCCATGAGCATTCGAAATCGACTTTGGTAGGACATTGTCGAGTACGCAAAGGACTGAATACTTCTCAGTTGGGACAAGAGATTCCGAACTGAAAAGATAGAAAGAAAGGGCACCATGTCATTGTTGTGTACAAAGTTTGTGATTGAATTGATATCTGGAACAGCATCGATTGGCCTGAAGACGGGAGGACTGGCATAGGCAAAGCATCTCGTAGGAGCGGATACCAACTTTTTGGATTGGACGAGAACCGTGAGCAGGCAGGCTGTCCCAGCACCAAGACTGTGCCCAGTGACAATAAATTCGTAGCCAGGATGCTCGTCCAATAGTTTCACAATTATGGGACCAGCATTCTCCCAAACTCGTTCGCTCATGGACGCCATTTCCGAATGGGCCTCGCCTCCACAAAAGTCGGTGGTGAACGCACATATATCCACGACAATCTCTTGTGGACTGAAGGTACCACGGATACTCAATACAACTTTCTTATTTTCATGGTCAATCGCGACAAAGTGCCGAAGATGCTTGGCGTCTCCATTATAATCCACATCCAACAAATGAATATCTTCTTCTTTCAGACAAATGTGCTTGGCCACTGCTGCTGCTGGGATTTTTCCAACGTGCTCAAATTCGAAATTCCCACGAGCTTCGACATTAGCGGCATGGATCATAGCCTGGCCATATGCAGCTGTTGCGTAGCTCATGTATCTTTTTGCTTCGATCCACGACTGCTTCCCCCCATTCCTCCGCAACGATGGAGGTTGTGGTTGATTGGGAAGGTACCGATTCTTCCAAAGTTCCGATTGGATCGAACTTAACAGTTTCAAGTCCACTGCCAAATGAGAATTGACTGTCTGAGAAACCTCTTTCTCCAGACCGCTCTTCTTCATGAAAAGTTCAAAACTCTCGATGGCTGTGAAAAGGGCTTTGGATTGATAGTTGGCATACCAGCTTCGTCCGGAGGAAACGATGAAGCCTCCAATCGATAAAAAGGCGCTTAGTCCTTGTCGTAGCCATTTGAAGTTCTTTCCCTTGTCGTACGGAGTGAATGAAAAGTAGCGCTTCTCCGGCCTGAGCAATGCTTTCTCAATGAGCCTTGCTCGCTTATGAGCAGTCAATACCATGTGCCCCCTTACATTCGCGAGATTACTGTTCACCTGATCCACAAGGTCATCTCGTCTTAGAGATAGCTTATCCATCAGAAAGAACTGCTCCATCGAATCTTGGTACTCTTCAATTTTCTCCCATTGTAAGACCACCGCCATTCGTTCAATCCCACCAGCTATCGTTGGACGGATCTGATTTGCCAGTGCCGTCATCCGACTGCGAAGCAAAGATATTGCTCTCATGGATAATGCACAATAATGGCGCTGTGAAAACGCAACTACAATTCTTCCAACATCTAATGCTGATGAACAAACGCGAGGTAATACTGAATACTGTAGCTATACCGCGCAAAATATTTTGTGTCGTGCATTCTATGATGGTGAAATTCGAAATTCTGAAGAGTCGAACGAGTCGACATTTGCCATAAAACGGGAGATTTGAACTTGGTTTTTATTGACATTTACAGTATAGAACGCTCACATCAGCGTCGGCAGGTTATTGTCATTAAAATATGAAATTTGGATTGTAAAAGTGTTCTAAAATGTGCATCAATGCTGTCAAGTTAGCCACGGTGTCCTTCATGCTGGCGTTATTGGGTCAAAATGATGCTTGGATGCTGTGCAAAAATCAAGGGAAAACGAGAGAGAGGATGCGAATGAGCCTTTATTTTGCAACTACCAAACCTGATGTTCACGTACATCCTGTCAAACCGCAGTCTAACCAAGATATCATGGATCTTGCCGACATGAGATACAGTGAATGGATACAAGGTGAGGAGACGGGCGAAAAGACACCAAGTCTTGGAGCATTCCGGATGGCAACAGCTGAAATTGTCCAGGAACGCGCCCAAGAGGGCGCCATGACATTTCTCGCTCGGGTGGAATCGAATACCAAGAGTCAGCCGAAAGCGCAAGCAGCAGCAGTTGTTGGATCAGCAGAACTTAGTCCCATCGAACTCAAGGGTCTTTTGCCAGTATCGCACCTGGCGACAACCAGAAAATGGCTCTACGTGACAGATGTTGTTACTTCCGCCACTCATCGACGACTTGGAGTTGGGACCAAGTTGATGGACGCTGTGGAAAGAGCAGCAGCGTTACAATTCAATGCCACTAGAATCTACTTGCATGTTCGATCTGAAAATAGCGGAGCGATGGAATTTTATTTCAAACGAGGATATCAAAAGACATCAATGTGTTATTCCAAGGAAGTCGATGAAGATAAGCTGGCAGAAGCGGCAGGGGCAAGGGAGCAGATATTGCTTCAAAAGGAGCTCGTAGCAGGTGACTATGATGACGAGCAGATGCAAAAACGCAATAATATTAAAAAACGCAGTGCACGGGGTGGTAACAAAGGCTTTGCGAAAAAGAATGACTAATTTGTAGTCTTTTGAGGAGCATTTGACACTGAAACCACCGGCCGGATGTGTTTTCTACCACTCTCCTCCACCCCTATCGATCCCTGAACCCAAAAATTCTCATACACAGATATGTAATTGTTGCAGAGTACACAGAAAAGTTCGTCGTATTCCGTATCACCAGTCCCAAGACAGTTCCGATGCAAACCCTCGAGATCAAGGACAGATTACTGATGTCGTAGATTTTCTCATTATTTCAAATAATATAAGGGAGGCAAAACATTTACACTATGGTTGTTCAAAATTACACAGATAGCAGCAACATTTGGAATGCATACAATCTAGACTTCACACATCACTCGTCCAGCACGTTCTATCCTGCTCACCTCCTCCTTGTCTTTGTCTCCCGCACGATTGGAAGATTTCTTCTTTCTTCGAGAAGCACCAGCAGCTCCTATTGTGGCAAAATATTCCTCAGGGGATGATGATAGCAGCTTGCTCTTGTCAATAACTGCGATCTCTTCTTCGCTGGACCAGGAATCCGAGTCCGTCAAGTCTTCAAGAGCTGCATCAGCATTCTTCAACTCGATTGTCGTGGCACCCTTCTTATTTAGTCCTGGCACTCCTCGGAACCATGATTTTCTCTTTTTCGGCTTTTCTTCTTCTAGCTTTTCTTCTTTCGCCTGAACTTCTTCAGGTTCTACCTCTCCCGTACCCTCTAGATGAGTGAACCCTGCTACAGCAAGCTGGGCATTGGCGTAGGTTGCGGTTGGATCACATTCAATGACACGGCAAGCGTAGTCAATGCAAAAGTCGCCTTCTCGGACAAACCGATCGTACCACCGAAATGGGCCACTCGTATTAATATCGACGTTGCTCTCTTTGTATTCAATCTGAGGGGCCACTGCCGATTCTTCGTCATCCGAAACAGACGAGTCAGAATCCGAATAGCCGGAATGGTCGGACTCGTCATTTTCGTCCACCTCTGGCAGGCTGTAGACCCGATTGCTAGAGACCAGATTGGAAGCTTTCCTGGTGGTGACACTCTGATTTCCGTGCGTAGAACCAAGAGTTTCATTTGACTTGGACTGAACACTCAAAGTCTATGAAGTTGGTTGACAACAAGTAGATGAGAAATCAATCAGACCGAGACTATGTATACTGCTGCTTGGTGCTTGCTTAGATGTCTTACCTCTTGATTTTCACCTTCGTCAGCATGGAGGTTGCGGCTTTCCTTTTCACCAGCAGTCTTCTTATTTTGATCGGATCCTTTTCGAGCTGCCAAATCAAAAGAAAAGGGCAATTTTCCATCAGCGGATGGACCCAAGATTTCCCGTCCAATAGCCTTTTCAAAACTACTGAGCTCCATTTCCATGCTGTCCAGAGTAGCTTCCATTGACATGGACGAACCGAATCTTCGCAAAAATGCACGTCGATTGAGCATGGATGCCAGTCTCATTTTCTTCTCGAGGACACCTTCGATTCTCTTCTTAGCCATCTTGGCGGCTCGGATCTTGGCTGACATGGACTCGTTGCTCTTTTCAGAGGCTATTGACTTGGCGGAAGATCCCATGACGGAAAATCCCTTTTCTTTTGATTTGTGAAATTTGATGGGTGATGGTGTGACAACCGATACCTATGTCGTATGATTGGATTTTCTGCGACAATTTCAACAAATTTGTGACGGGCATGGTTCAAATTTTTGTCCAATAACGGAAATTCATCGTCTGGCCGACGCCGAAAAGATAGAGACGGGGTCATTCCTCCAAATATCCGAGCCCCCCAAATTCCGAAAGCAAGATCTTTGTGACCGTCATCATTGCGACGTCCTGTCTTCGCACCTCAACCTGTTTACAAAGAACAATTCAAGACTTATATATTTCAACAAATACACAACAATGCTTGCCTCGTTCCAAAAACTGTCATTCCTCCTTTTGATTCTTATTGTAGGAGCCGCTGCCGAGTCAGTGTTTAAATTGGAAACAGACGGCATCATCAAGATTTCGTGCTCGGATGCCAGTGCGAACGCTGTTTGCAAGCGCAATGGAGACGTTGGAAAGTTGGTCAATCTTCCCGATTCGGCCATTCTGATTGAATATGGGCAAGGAATCATCTGCCAATGTCCATCCAATGCAGTTGCCGACACTGTCACCTGCGATGGGACCTGTACCTGTCAGAAGTGTGCTTCGAATGAAAACGATTGTTCGGAACCATGTTCCGCAAGCTGGAAACCAATGGCTTTTGGTTTGGTCTCGGTTGTCGCTGGGCTTGGTTCTCTCTTGGTGCTATAAGCGTTACATCCCTTGACGATGACTCGTTCCTTTGAAAATGAGTAAATGAATGGATGAATCAATCAATTCATTGGCTGGGTGACGACATCTGAAGTTGAACATGTATCAGAAAGTCACAAGGAGAGTGGCGGCATTGCTGTAGAGTACAATGTGAGGAACAGGCATGATTACTGTTTCGCATGGCTGTAGGCAATAAGTATAACTATAATATGATCTTATGTTCTTATTTATCATAGTTCCAGATAAGGACGACCGTAGTAAGAGTCCAACAAGATGGTTCGAAGATCGTTTTTGCTGGGTGGTCTCGAATTGGTGCTCACACAGGGATCTTCCCATGCCATTTCTACCAAGGACTCCAGCTGATTCTTGAATTGATTTTCCTTGATGCCCCACTCCTGTATGGAGGTAGGAATTGACAAATCTTCCTTGATCTTGTTCAACCACTCCACGAATGCAGTGCTTGCATCCTTGGAGTCGTCGTCGGGCTTTGTGAGTCTCAAGTGCCTCGCCATTTCAGCATATTGGCATTCCATTATTTGTTCCGCCTCGGCTTCTTCTTGTGAAGTAGTATAATGTGTTGTATTGTATCGGACCACATTGGTCAATAGGAGTGCCTTTGCCATGCCACGAGGAATATTCAACAATGTTTCTAAAGCGTGTCCCATGGAGTGACAAATGCCCATGCCGGCATTGGCGTGAGCAATTCCAGCAATGGTGGCTGCGTTATGAACCTTTTCTCTTGCAATCGGATCTTCTTTTCCATGAAGATAGGCACGAGGGAGATAGGTTTTGAGTAGTTTCAAGGCTTGGAGTGCTTGTCCATCGGTGAATTCATTGCTGCAGACGGACGCGTAGGCTTCAATGGTATGTGCCAAGGCATTCATTCCAGCTTGGGCAGTGATATCGCGAGGCATATTCATGACCAAGTTGGCATCAATAATGGCCATAAAGGGAGTCAATTCGAAGTGAGCAATGGGACAACGCCTGTGTTGAAAGTTGCCAAGGGCACCGCCTCCTACCACCATGGTCGCAAACGGAGTCACTTCGGTACCGCTGCCAGATGTCGTGGGGATGCAAACCAGTTTGGCCTTGATGCCCATTTTAGGGAATTCTTTCTTCTTCTTGATACTAGTACCGCTAGTACTATCATTGTTATTCTTGTTGTTTTCACATGATTCAGACAACCATTGTTGCATTCCACCATAATCATCAGACAAGTCTTTCAAGTCCGCAGTTGGGTCTTCGTATAGAACATGCATGAGTTTCGCTGCCTCCATGGTTCTACCACCTCCCATGACAATGATTAAATCTGCAGTCGAATAGTGGATTGAATGATGGACAAGCAAGATGCAGTGTGAATGAACGAGAATGTGGAGCAAGAGAATACACATGTTGGGCAGCCGAATGATGCAACGAGAAGTTTCATCTGGCACAAAAATCCACATCTTTCATCTCTTCTTTACATACCTGGCTTAAAATTCCGCATGACGTCCACTCCCTTCTTGATGGTACCTTCGGTGGCATCTTCGGCTTCGTAAAAGACATGATAGTCCAGGTAATTCTGGTGGCTGCTTTTGGCGTTCAGCAGATCAATCAGTTCGTGGACGAACGGTGTTTGTTTGTAGGAAAATGAGTCCGTCACAATGCAGACTCGTTTGAATTTCTTAAGGTCTTCCATGGCGGTCGCCATGGAGCCACGGCGAAAGTAAATGGAGTTGGGGACCTTGTGCCACAACATGATTGCCTGTGTTAGTAAGTACCTTGATGTCTGTTCTTGTTTGATTATTGCTGCTTGAGAAGCTGTTGCTTCGTATTGTTTCCAATATGTTCCTCTCGGCGTTTCGTTGATTTGTGTGCCAATGGTTTATTCTTTCCGTCAGCTGCAGAGAAGAAGAGACCCCACGATGCGAATCCTAAGTCGGAGTTCTCATTTTCGTGCATATAGTGTACTGTACTTTCAACTTTTGGAATTCAGCGCTGGCCGTGGGACTATCCACCATGAGGATTGAATGGCGAGCTTTCATGAGACTCTACTGCACCTCAATATGATCTGATGCTCAAAGCAGAATCATCATATCCCAAACGTTTGGTGTAATTACATTCTGTATCGCAATGTAAGGTCGTGACGATGATGAAAGTCTGAAAATCGACTAATACGATCGTCCGACCAATCTTCACTACATTCGTCGAACTGGTACACCGATACGCCAGTGTTGGAGCCAATGCATCAAAGAATGAACGTCGATATTGGCCGTTTGAGCAAGCTATTCGTGCCATGGAAACTAAAGATGTGAGGAAAAAGTGTCAAACAGAGGGACTAGAAATTGCTGCCCATTACGCTCCGTCAAAAATTGCTGCTCGCGAATTGACGGACCCTTCGTCGCTCGATTATTGCGATTGAAGGCATGCATGCATGTGAGACAGGGGTGTACGCATCACGCTATGAAATGATTGAGATAACATAAAGCTGGTTAGAGAATGTATGCATGTAGACTATTCCTGACTCTGGCATTATATGAGTGGATCATTCCTAGATTCCATAGTTTCAAATCTTTCTCAAGCCGTGATGGCCACAAAGCCGTCTCCTTGAATTCACTCGACAAGCGGAGACTGTTACTTGCTATATTGAAACGGAGGACTCACTCAAATGTGCGCGTACAATGCCATGGCTTCTTGGGCCTTCTCTTTGACTCTGACACTTTTATTTCGAAACTGGTCCAAAGCTTCAACAAACAAATGGCACACTTTCTTCTCTTGCAACATCTTTACTAGCGCGGAATCTCCAGTCTTCCCCACATATATTAGATAGTTGATGCCGACTTCTTGCGTGTACTCATCTTCCGGGTACTTCTTGATAGCTGAAATGACAAAATCCAGGGTTTCTTCCGTAACTGTTTCCTTGCAAACTTTCCAACTCAAAGTATCAACCAAATTCCACAAGATACCAACCATATTGGACTGTTTAGAATACTCAAAATTGCCTCTGAGTCGATCGCGATTCTTCAGCTGGCAGTAATGGGCATCCACTTCTCGGCTGGCAAGTTTTACCAAGCTTCGGATGGCACAGCACTTGATAAGTTGTCGAGCAGCTTCTGGGACCAAACCAGAGATCAAATTTAAAAGACGAACTGCCTTGCAGGCGAAAGTATGTGATCTTGAATCATCCAGAAAGTCGTTCAACGCCATGAATATCGCAAACACGCCATCGTATTTCGCAATGAACTTGGCAACGGGCCGAGAAATTTCATCCGTGTAACGATACGAATCGGTTGTCTGTCGTGGGTCATAAACCTTTGCATCATCAGTATGCAAATGTTGGAATAGCTTATTAATTGCCTCCTTAGCTTCATGATAAGACCTGGCCAATCGCAAGTCTTGCAATAGCAGTTTCACAACCATGTTGTCTACATCTTCTGCTTCTGCTTTCTCGTCCTTTTCCTCGTCGGTTGGTTTGTTCACCTCGTTGTTGCGTGTCACATCTTGGATTTCAACGCTGTACTGAGCGTTGGTATCCTTGTCTATGGCAGCCTTTAGTTCAGTCGCATGCCGTTCCTCGGGTGTTTTGGTTGGCGTGACGGTTGCTGAGACAGCGCTATCATGGTTCATGGACAGGACATTCTCTGGGAAAGCCTCATCATCATTGGGCTTTCTTCGTTTGCTAAGGGGTTCTGTTGCCAATGGCATTTTCTTTTTTGCTTCAATGTCTTTCTCCTTTCAATTTGGAACTCTTCTTGATTGTGCCCCGCCCAAGATTTGGTGGAGAAGAGGCTGGTTTCTTTGACTGACACACACACACAAACACACACACACACACAACTGAAATGCGAACGTTGGTTCTTTGTTGATGGACACAACTGACATGATGAGAACGTGTGTGTGCCATATGCATGAATGCTTCGTACAGCATCATTCTACGAGACAATGCCATAAAGACAACGGAGTTTAAAGTTGTCGAGCATACTTTATCGAATGCGCATTGTGTGCAACGCCTCTTGTACCATCATCTGTGTCACCTTGTTTTTGTTTCAAAAAAATGTGTCCGTACATTATATACGTGTGAAACGGGACGGGTACCGGTACACGTACGTAGAAAGATCAACCAATGCAGTAGTTTATTTTTGATGGTCTAAGGTACCGGTAGAACCTACGTATGCGAACTAACGATGTAAACAATACACTATGCAACGATTGCAATAGATAGCTGGAGAACGTATGTATGCATAGACTATTACTGACATTGTATGAGTGGATCATTCTTGTTGGATTCCATGGTTTGAAACCTTTCTTGGGCCCTACTGATCGCCATCATGAGCCTTCTGCTTTAATTCACTTCCAGGGCAAAATTTCTCATGGCGATATCACAAAGGAGCGCATCATTTTTAAATAGAAAAGTACCAAACCATGGCTTCTCGAGCCATCTCTTTGACTTCAACACTTTCATGTCGAAAATTATCCAAAGCTTCCAGAAATAAATGGCCAACTTTCTTCTTTTGGAGCATCGTTGATGTTTCGGAATCTCCAGTCTTTCCCACACAGAGTAAATATTCGATGCCAACATGTTGCATGAACTCATCTTCTGGGTATTCCTTGATAACTGAAATGACAAAATCCAGGGTTTCTTCCGGAACAACTTGCTTGCAAATGTTCCAACCCAATCCAAAAACCAAATCGGCCAAGATCCCAACCACATTGGACTTTAACGAGTAATCAAAGTTCCGTTTGATCTGATCATACTTATGCAGCTTGAGACAATCGACATGAGCTCCTTTGCGTGCAAGCATCAGCAAACTTCGGACAGCACCTGATTCGATAAGTTGTTGGCCCGCCGCTGGGACCTCACTAGAGATCAAACTTAAAAGGCGAAGTGTCTTACAGAGAAACATATTTGATCCCGAGTGTTGGAACTCCTGTAACGCAACAAAGATGGTCAACACGCCATTGGATCTCGTAATGACCTTGGCAACGGGCAGAGAAATATGGTCGGGGTTGTGGAACGCGGTGGTCGTTTTTCGTGGATCGTACGTAGAAACATTTGCATCTTCTGTATGTAATTCTTGGAATAGCATATCAATTGCCTTCTCTGCTGCCTCGAAAGACATGGCGAATCGCAAGTTTTCTATGAGCTGTGTCACAACTACTAGTTTGTCAATCTCCTCCTGCTTTCCCTCGTCGTTTGCTTTATTCCTCTCGTTGTGGCGTGTCGCATCTTCGTTTTCAAAAGTGAGATGAGTGATGGTATCCTCGTCAATGTCAGCCTCTGATGCAGTCGAATTCGATGCCTTTGGTGTTTTGATTGGCGTGACAGTGGCCGCCACAGCGGCATGATGATTGATCATGAATGACATATTCTTCTCTGCCTCATTGGGTTTTCTTCGTTTTCTGGCGGGTTCTGCTGTTGACGACATCTCCATTCAGCCCAGCACTCTTTTTTTCTTCAATTTGTTGTTCTTGCTTGATTTGCCCCCATCGCAAAAGAGGTTTGGTTTGGACACGCGCACGACTGAAATCAAAACGTGGAAGATACGAAAAACAATGCCGTAAACACGACAGAGAAGGAATCCATTCTCAAGTGTGGAGCACATGTTTTCGAAAGCGCATCGTTTGCGACGCCTCTTGTTGCATGTGTGTCACCTTCTGTTTGTTGCGAGCGTGTCGCTGTCATTTGCGTTGTGATTATGGAATGAGCCCTGATGATTATGAGAGACTGACTACGATGTGCGTGTACGTCATGCGTTGGACAGGTACGTGTACGGGTTTGGCGAGGGGAATGTGGAATCACATATATCAAACGGGGGAAATTCGACGAGCAGAATATTGATGATGATGATGAACACATCATTATCTTACCGTATTTGTTAGCATGCGAATCTTCAAATAGGATGCTACTTGTACAGTATGCATTCAAGTGCACAAGACGCATCCATGAAAACGATAATAGCTACGACTTCTTCAATCCAAAGATGGCAACAGCCTTCCAGCTATTCCTGATAACATTTCTGGGCATGCTCTCCGATTCGGATGGATTTCATGGTTATTATTGTCTTCCTCATCATTACCACCGCAGTACTACCTCTCGACGATGGGCACTGCATGCCGGCGCTGATGCTATTGTACCACCTACAGTTTGGATCCAAGATGCCGAAGAAGATTTTGTGGATGAAGATGAAAATCTAGAGGATGGCGAAATTTGTCTCAAATCAGTCAAGGCCTTTGCCTCACCAGTGCTGGTCGAAGATGTTGTGCCACGATTCTTGAGTGCCGGGGCGCTGGTCCAACGTCCAACAATCGTAGAGGACATTCGATCCGTTTGCGATGCCTGGACGGCTGATGCCATTCTGGAGGAAGGAGGCCCGAATCTGCAACTACAGGGGGCATCCTTGGTGTTGGACGACTTGTTTCAATTTCATTTGGAGCAACAACCGGCAGATCCGATTGGCGCATTGCAGACTTTTGTTGTACAATGTGGTAGTATTGAGAACGAAACTTCCTGTGCTTCTTACATGGCGGCAAATTCACGGGGATTTCGACCCTTGAAGGACTTGGTGAGAGAATCTTCCATCTACACGAAATCTGCATATCTTGATGGTAGCTTGGACGGCATGGTGTTGGAAATAAACAAAGCACGGGTCGCCTATGGACGCTTGATCGAAATGGGTTGCCCCAATCATGGTACAATATCCAAAATCCTCCAACTGCTTCCGGACGATGACCTAATCCAACGATTCACGATCAAACGGTTCTCGGCAAAATAGAACGAAGCAAGTATGAGTTGATGGGCACCATTTGCCAGGGGCTCCATCCATGCAAGCGTTGCAAAGGAAGGATATACTGTATGTCTGGCCATGGGTGAGGTAACAATCATCAGCAGGCACAAACGCATGACTTGTTTTCACCTATAGGTGATGCCTTGCAGATCAATCGGAAGCGCGAGGAGCTTGGAATAGTTTCTTCCATCATACAGCGAGAAATTTTTATTTCAAGTGGATGGTGATGTGATTTCAGGAGCACGATTAGTGCGTACAGTAGATATAGCTACAATCGAAAGCACTACACTACTTGAATGAGAAAAGGCATCTAGCTGTGCCGGTTTGGAAAAAAGACGTTGCTAACCGTCAGACATGAATCAAGACAGTTGACGCTAGTGAAGTTTTCTGCCGCAAACAAGCGGTTGAAAATTACATCCGATCCTGCATGGTCTTGACAAAAAGACGTTGCTAACGGTCAGACATGAATCAAGACGTTCGACGCTAGTGAAGTTTCCGCAAACATGCTGTTGAAAAATTGTTTGAAAAAAATAAATTTTCAAAAAAAGGCGTCTGATCCTGCATAGTTTTGACCAAAAGACGTTGGTAACGGTCAGACATGAATCTAGACGCTCGACACTAGTGAACTTTGCTGCAAAAGCTGCAAACCAGCTGTTGAAAAACTGATTGAAAAGCTGATTGAAAAAAAAGTATTTTTTCAAACAAAGGCGTCCAATCCTGCATGGTTTTGACCAAAAGACGTTGGTAACGTTCAGAAGTGAATCAAGAAGCTCAACACTAGTGAACTGGCTTGACGGCGGTCCACATCTGTCATCTGGAGAGGGAACTTAGATTGCTGTTTGATGGACAGTATAAAATGCATAATAATAGATACTATGGAGTTCAATGTCAACACAAGTCTTCTGCCTTGGTGGGCAATGTATTCTTTTAAAATATACTGTATAAATAAATATTTGTTAGATGCTGCTTTGCTGTTGATATCTGTAGTCAATTCATGGAGAATTGCATCATGGCGCTTGTGTTGGTCTGCTGGGGCCATGTTGACGTCAACACTGAACACTTTATACATTTGACTATGACACTGTTTTGTCCTGTTGTGCCAATTTCAAGGCTTAACCATGAATGTGGTTGTATGGTTTTGGACCGTTGTGCCACAGTTCTCAGCTCTGTCTCCATTTGGCACAGCAATGTATACTCCAACAAGAGCATATGAATACTGCGCCTTTATCATTGGACAACAGAACATCAACACTGCTGTTTGAGCATTGATCAAAAGCCGCTTGATGGATGAGCTGGCATTTGCTTAGGTAATGGGTACATGTGTGGGGTCTTGTCCTGTTGAGTTGTTACAATTGTAAGAAGTGAGAATGGATGAGGTTCGTACAGAGACTATTATTGACATAAGGAGGATCACCATACCTTATCCGTAAAATGGAAGCAAATGGACAATGACATAGCTATTAATTTTGTTTACAAGGTTATAGATTCTGGTATAATGCATTCTTTAGTTTTTCATACATCAAGAATGATCGACTGTAATTCCCAGTTACAGCATTCATTGGGAAGATCATGTAGTGCTGACAATCCATTGTCATTGTGGAGGGAGGCTGCAGAAAAGTGGGACACTAAAATAAAATGAGGCGGGCCGGCCAAAGCTGGTTGGCACTGGCCAAGATCCAATGCCAGCCAGTTTTGAAGTGGGGGATTTTGGGAGGTAGATTGGGATGAAGGTCAAGCATCGGGGTTGCGGGGTGGGTGACACGGTCCTCGGAACGATTACAAAAAACCTCGTTCTGTCGGGTGTTCCTGAAAATTACCCCGTCTTGCAGTACAGTGAGACATACATCAGAAAGTTCCGGGTATATCCCAAGTATGTGCTAGCTGTTCATTCGTCCAACAACTATGGTGCACTTTTGCTCAGAAGTCTTCTTACAGACTTCCAGACGAGCCGTATCCATTTTTGAATTGCTCATGAAGATTTAGCAAGAGTTCTGATTCTTCTTTGCCAGGCGAAGAACAAAGTGCAGATCTAGTATTGAGCTCTTCCGTGTTGTCATCCATACAATAAGCATGGACAAAAGAGTGGGACGCAAATACTTCAGAAGGGCCAAACGTAATCTTGCTAGTCAATGTGCAAAATGTATCACAGAATCCTCCAAACGCATCTTTTGCAGGAATGGGAAGTACTCTGCTAACCACCTTCTTCTTTGCCAGCTCCCTGATTGGAGAATGGCCTAGGGTAAGGTCGTTGTCATCGGAGACAGCGGTAGACCCAAACACAACCAGCAAACACAATGCTCCAGGGAAGAATTCAAAAACTTCCTTGTCATTGCTTTCTTCAATTCTCTTTAATCTCTCTGTCATCCGCTGGCACTCCCATCTTGCATCTGCAGGAGAACAGTACGCACGCGACTTGATGGAGATCACCATAGGCGCAAAGTAATGTTTCCTTTGTCCTGACAGCTTGATGGTAATGACAAGGTCAATAATGGGACAACCAGAGAATACGTAGAAAGCTGTCCCGCTTGCGTACATGTATGATAGAAACTCCTGCGAACAAAATCCTTCCCAGTCCGCTTCACAAGCACGCAAATAGTTTCGACAAACTTGAATAAAGCTGATGCTAGCCTCCACCTCAACTTCGTAAGCTTCATCCATTGTTTCGTCCACTTTCTCAGCAGTCAATTTCTGTCTTGAGACCTGTGATTTGGCAGCAAGGAGGCGTTTGCTCTTCCGCTTTGGCAAAACATCCTCGTCGGAACGATGCCCTTGTCTTCTCTCAAGCCCACCAGTTGTTAGCTGCTCTATCCAATCTTCAAGAGATACTGAAAACGTAGTGTGATTGTGATTGTCCTGTCGCCGAAGCACATCGGCACAAACAAGAAAGTACAGCGCAACCATGATTTCACCAAAGTCCCCCTTTTCAGGTCGACAGAGCCCTTGCGAAAAAATCTCCTTCATCTTCCGCAGCCACCAACTACTGGGCCTGCCTTTGATGTCACCCAATGCCCATTCTGGGTCCATCAGTTGCATGGCCAGACGACCACAAACAGGATCTGGCATGTAGCATATTATTGCATCTGTTGAAGTGGCATGAGTCAGGTTGGCATAACCGTAGCCTACCATGTCCGAAGCCACAGGAAAAGAAGTTTGGCCCATTTGCACCCTGGTACCCAAAATACTGAGACATGCTTTGAGTGACTCCTTCCCAACAATCCAGTGATTCCCGAGACCATACAGTAGCATCCGACGGACTACTGATCCTTCATTTCTTGCTGATCTCCATTTTCCTCCATGAGCTCAAAGAGCGGTCGTCCATGGCGGATCGCATGACGATACTCTGTCGTATGCTTACCCAATTCTTTATCTCCCTCCAAATTTCGACCCGCGAGGCAGCCCATTGTGGTTGTCTGAAGAAATATTGGAAACATCTTTGCGCCTTTATCATAGAAGTTGTACTGCTTGCCACTTGGCGTGAAGTCTCGAGATGATGGAACTGACAGCTGTGGATCAGCCTCCAGTCGGAAGCTTGCCAAGGTTGCAAGCGTACCAGAAAAGCAACCAATCACTTCCTGATGTCGTTTCTTCTGCCGAAGCCATAGCCGAATGCATCGAAATAGAAATGCAGGATGTTTAACGTTCTCGGCGCCCTTGTCGTTCTGGAACCTTTGGGATTCCAAGTATACCTGGGCTTCATCGAAACAAAGAAATATGATATTTTCATTATCGTGCTGATTGGATGCTTCAGCTACTTGTTTGTCGTAGAAAGTATTCAGGTGTTCAAGAACTGCCGTTGCAGCATCCAAGGCTGTTTTTTCCTCCATAATGCTTCGAGATTGAGCCTGTGAGAGAAAACGTCGCCCTTCGTCAGCGCATCGGAATCTTTCAGTATCCATGGCAAAACTATATAGCAAGACCAATTATTCTTTTGTTTCAACTGCTTGCAACCTTCGTAAATTACTTTGGTCTTTCCCATCCCGCTCGACTGTATGACACAAAAGTAAGGTGCATCTTCGTAATCCGAAGCGTTAACAGAATCCTTTGATGCATCGAACCATTTCGCAACGCGCTCAGCTTGAAGAACAAACTTGTGAACATCGTAGGAATGAGAGAGCTCTGTTTTGCTGATGAGATAGTTGACAGGAACCATACGATCATTGGATTCGGATAATGCAGTTGGCGATCGAGCTTGCTCCTTTGTTCTCTTGTAGTACTGCTTCAAGACTTTGGCGCACAGGATAGAAAGAAAAGTGCGAAGTGACACTTCATCTTCTATTTTCAGTCGTTCCTGCTGATGCTTGAGAAAGCCCAATGACGCACCAGCAAGGGCTGAGGTAGTCTTCATAGCACTATTTGCTTCTGAGATCATGTCTTGGTTTCCCTGAAAAGCAGCCACGACCGCATCACATATCACCTCTTGACGAAAATTGACCGCTTGCGCATCAGGAAGCTCCTTTGCCTTCCCAATCATTGTCAGATGCTCTTCGGCATTCTCATCGTCCTCCTCTGACCATCGCTGCAGTATAGAGTCCTACACCAGCATTTCATATGCTGTAGATTCGTTTTCTTCTTCATTTCCATGGTCACTAGTAGCCATATCCGTATCTTCGTTTGATGTGCTGCTACTAGACGCTTTGACTGCAGATTCAATCATTATAGCATCAGGATTGGCTTTTGAACGTTTTGCTTTTCGGTCTAGTGTGATAATGTTATGACTACGACTGCTCATTCGATGAAATATGATCCGCCAACGAGTGACTATTACAGTAGCTAGAGGCAAAAATTCGGGTGTCACCACTAGTTAGTCCGTGTGTAGAAAAGTTCGCACCAGAGAAAAGTACGCGTCAGCGCGCGCACTTCCTACTTTTCAGCAGACGACCAACGCGATCCAAATTGACAACAATAAGATCGCAACGCATCTCCGATCGTCTAATCCAGTAGTACCTACCAGTATCGCATCCCTTCTTGCACCGCCATGTCCACAGTATGGATACCCCGTCGATACATTGTGACCTGGCTTCTATTGTTCACCCAAATATCAGCTTTCTCAGCCAACAACAATGACAACAATCAAAATGGAGATAACAACGCCAAGGAAGTCATTGAAGTCGAGGAAGCTCCCGAGTCCATTTCACGACGAAATCTTCTTACTTGGCCCATTGGAATAGGCGGTGCAGTAGTTTATGGTAAGCTGTTGTCAAGCTCACTCGAGAAGTTATCCCGTGGAGATTCGGTGTTTCCAGACGACCATGAGCGACGGGTCCGAATGGTCCTCTCCACATCCCTTCAAGCGAGTGCTCAAGGCCTAATGATGACCAACCACAGAATCATCGCCAACGACCAATCACCACTAGCAGACGCACCGCCATCACCGTCATCGCCTCGTCCATTTCGAGTGCTAGAAGTTGGAATTGGCAATGAATGGAGACTGGCACGACGTGGTTTGTACGGAGATGGACTCCAAGAATTGAGACGAATGGGAATTCGCGATTTGGATGTCACTGGGGTGGATTTGGTCACTCCCAAAGAAGCCGTTTTGAAGCAAGCGCGCGACAAGATGCAAGCACTGGTAGCCGCGACGGGTGAAGTAGGAGAGCAGCCAGCGCTCCGTGTCAACTTGCACGCCATCAAAGGCAGCATCACGGCCAAACTGAATGACTATCCGAATGGCTACTTTGATGCTGTCATTTGTTCCTTGACCTTGTGCAGCGTGGACGATCAGACAGCAGCCTTGGCAGAGATTCATCGGTTGATGCGTTCCTCGGGTGGTACCTTTGGCTATCTGGAGCATGTAGCAGTTGATGATGATGAACCGTATAGTTTCTTGGAGGTCCAACAAAAGGTACTAGACCCACTGCAACAAGCCTTGGCAGACAATTGTCATTTGCATCGGTATACAGATGAAACTATAGCGGAAGAGTTCCGATTACCACAAGACAATGACAATGACAATGACAATGACAATGCGAGCCAATTATTGACGTCTTCATCATCATCTTCGTCCTATCTTTTGCACGAACGGTTTCTGGTGGATGGCATGTGGCCAATCTCCTGCCAATGCTGTGGTGTGATTCAGCAAAGAATGTGATTAGGAGAATACATGTTGGCATAACATTAAAAAACTGCAGTTCAAATGTTCATAAGGAGGGAGAGACCGAGAGAAGAAATACGACTACGGCTCGGAGGAAAACACCGTTGCAATTGCGATTCTTGATGGTCTTCGGTAGGAGTCCAAGAACAGATCGGTTTGGACACGCTCAACGGAAATGAAAAAGTGTTCCTCTACGAAACAATGTTGTAGAGACGACACGAATTCGATTTTTCAAGCATCATTTTTCAAAAGAAGCGCAATGTGTGGGACGTCTCTCATTCAATGTGTGTCTCATTCTATGATATGGCGTGGAATGGAGGCGATCATCGAAAAAAGTGCTATCCGAAGAAGAAGCTACCACATCTTTGAAGCAATACAGTGCTCTTGAGCAACCAAATTTTGGAGAGGACCTCTTATTAAATGCTCTTTTGCATTCATTTCAGACTCACAAAGATGACCTTGGTGAGGAATCGGTCGTTGAGAATCTTGCTACAAGTGTAGTTGACAACATAAAACCGATAGTCCTTATTAAAGTACCAATGGTGGTACTACTCATTGAGAGAATGTGCGCGAAAATTTTGAAATTGTACAATGAGAAAGGAGACAACTCTGCGACTGGTTCATCGCCTGGTGTTGACACAGTAGTATCATTGATGATCATGGATGAAACATTCTCTGCAAAATCGAGAGAAAGATTACTTTAGTTTATATACATGACCCGATTGGTGCGTGCCTATACGGTATGTAATTTTTCAATTTGAAGCCATGACCACGCAACAGCTTTTGCTAGAATTCTCTCTCGTCAAGCGGAAAACGCCATCCGCAATACTGAGAAGGAATAGCATACAAATGCATTAGTACATGGACGAGTACCATTGTAGGGCTTTTTGGGCCCTCCCTTTGACTCCGACGCCGTCAGAGTCTTCATCTTGAAAATAATTCAAGGCAGCCACAAGACGATATCCAACTTGCTTCTCTCGCAACATACTTAGGATGTCTGGACCCCCCTCAAGTCCCACTAGGTGCAAGTAGTCGATGCCAACATCTTGCGTGTGCACATCTTTCGGGTACTTTTTCATTGTTGAAAGGACAAAATCCAGGGTTTCTTTTGTAACTGTTTCCTTGCAAACGCTCCAATCCAACGTATCAACCAAAATCCACAAGATACCAATCGTATTGGACTTTAATGAGTACGCAGCGTTCATTTTTATCCGTTCACGATCCAACAAACTCCGGGCTGCGACACTCATTTCAGAGCATGCATTAAGTTTCAGCAAGCTGCGGATGGCACCTGCATCAAGAAGTTGCCCGCACGCTGCTGGGACCGAATGAGATAGCAAATGTAAAAGACGGACAGCCTTGCAGTTGAACATATACGATCGTGAAAGAAGAAACTCGTTCAAAGCCATCAAAATGGTAAAGACGCCACTGGATTTCACAATGAACTTGGCAACGGGAAGAGAAATTGTATCACCGTAGTAATACGAATCTGATACTTCTTCTGGGTTATAAACCTCTGCGTCTCCGGTATGTAACTCTTGCAACAGCTTTTCTATTACTTCAGTAGCTGCATCACATGACTTGGCCAATCGTAAATCTTGAAAGAGCTGTTTCACAGCTGGGTTATCTATCTCCTCCGCTTCTTCCTGTTCCTCCGATTCTTGTTCTTTCTCCTCCTTTTCCTCGTTGTTTGGTTTGTTCTGCTCGCTGTTGTGTCTGGTATTTTGATTTCCGACAGTATTCCGAGTGTTGGTATCCTTATTGTCTACGGCAGCCTCTGGTTCGGTCACCTTCGATTCTTCCTCGGATGATTCTTTGGAGGGAGTGACAATGAGTGACACAGTAGTATCATTGATGATCATGGATGAAACATTCTCTGCAACCGCCTCATTGGGTTTTCTGCGTTTACTGTCCGGTTCTTCTGATGACATCTTCTTTCTTACTTCAATGAATCACTCTTTGAAACGCTACAATTTTGGTACCAGGTTCGTACCATAGGGTTGAAAGCGGTGTTATTATTGTCATTGTTTTTACACTGTATTTTATATATTGTGTCATTTAGTTTTGGCGCGTAAAACGCGCACATCTTATTTTGTGGAGTTGAAAACTAGGTGACTAATAAGCCAGGAGATTGAAATTCAGATGCAAACTTTACTACAATGTTGGATAATCGTAAGAAGCAGAAGCTCGACAAGTGGTCGACTGCTCGAATCAATTGTACCGGGTGTGCTTTCATTTTCACGGGAGAGGGAAGCCGACTAGTAGTACTACTTTTCGCAAGGAAGGCGACTGTGATGATCCTGCTGGCTTCATAAATAGTATATGGCAAATAGTACTATCCTGTATACTTGACTGACTGCCCCACTACTAGAATTTTTAGCTAGCTTGAAGCGTACCATTTCATTGCTGCTTCGGCAACCTTCTTCACACTCGCATCATCATCATTACCATTATCATCATTATGATCTCGAAAGTGATCCAAGGCCGTGACAAAGATATTGCCGACTCTTTTTCTTCGTAACATGTCGTTCACTGGTGGATCTCCCAACTTTCCTACGGCAGTGAGATAGCGAATACCCCACTTTTGCACATAGGCATTGGCTGGATACGTTTGAAGTATGGAAATGACCAGATCCAGGCACCGTTCGGTAGCTGCTTCCTTCCCATGAGGTTGGTATTCCAAATTCGCGATCAAATTGTACAAGATCCCCACAAAATTCCCTTTCAAAATGAATTCCAATCTCATTGTGATACTGGCAGCTCGGCCCATATTGTCATAGGTACCAACGCACCGGATCTTTTCTCCATGCCGTCCTTGTTCCTTGAGTAAGGTGCGAAGACCTCCGAGTTCGACAAAGTGTCGATTGGCCAAAGGGATTAGGCCGGTAATGGTGACAAAAATACGGCTCGCCCAACATACCGCCGCAGTAGCTTGATTCCCAAAATGTTGAAGAGCTACGAGCAAAACCGCAATGCCATTGCATCGAAAGATGGATTCGGCGAATGGGAGGGAAATGTTTCTTTGAGCATGGTGATCATCATTTTGTCTTTGTTTTCCCACCGGAAGGTCATCAATATCATATTTCTTCTTGATGCTAATGATCCCAATTTTTTCGCTAAACACCAAGGCTCGATATATTTTTTCCATCAGCTTGCAAGCAATCTGAACATCATGGCATCGTCCCAAAGCCTTCAAGAGTGGGCGGACAATTCGATCCATATTGAATTCTGCTTGTTCTACTGCTATTTGTTGGTGATGGTGATTCTGGTTGTTTTGATCTACTTCTTGCTCTTGATGATTATAAGCGGTAGTGGTTGTTTCTTTCATTGTGTTTATTCTCGTGGCAAGTAGTAGTACAGTAGTATGAAGAAATTCAGTGTGAGTTTTGAAGGGATAATGTGATCAATGATGAATCTAGATTTTCTTCGAGTTCACAATTTGGCGCGCGAGAACAAACTATGAGAACAGACCGTCATATATTTTCGGGGTGGTTTCATTTTGGGGCGTCTGCGTTTACTAACCAATCTGAAATCCCCCAGTCATGTCATTCGTCATTGGCAATAAAATAGAAAATGACAGGAGGACCATCACACAAACAACGCAATGAGAATATCACTACGAATATGCCATCTTCGAATAAGAATAATAACAAAATAGGCGGATGGGTGTTACTACTTCCCACAGCAGTCTTATCGGCTGCATGCAGCATGTATCTGATGCTGTATTTCACTCCCATGTCCCATGAGTTTGCCAATGTGGAAACTGCCAGCACTGTGCTCACCAACACTATTAGTGATAATAATAATATGCGTATTCCACCAATACCAATATCACCACCACTGCCACCACCACCACCACGAATTGAGCTCACGGAATTTGACATGTTGTCATCACGAATCGAAAAGCTTACCAAAAAGTTCATGAAAGATCTAGGTTCGCCACATGCCATGCCACTGGCACGATGCTTTGACAATGAGGAGCTCAGTGAAGAGAATGGAGGGCACGATCACAGCAATCTTTGGCAAACCTGCATGCCAGTTTACATGGGAAAGAATCAGTTGGGGGCTAGACCCTATGGCAATGAACCTCGTGACAAGAATGGTGTGGCATACAGTTTTTGTCGTGGCGATTACCATTCGAGATTCAAAAAGGAAGGTGTCTGTCCCAATCCACAGAATGAGGAAATCCCGGAAGCGAAATTACCATTCGATCTCTATCGATTCGGTCGAGTTCCAAATGCAGATGAGCTTTGGTTTACCCACAACTACACAGAAAAAGGTTGCTTTGGAGTCGAAGGCACTTCTCAGAACAGCGTTTGTTTGCCACGAGACCGACTCAAGGGATTCGCAAGTGATTGCTTTTATGCACCCGACCGGCCGAAAACCATACTGTGTCTGCCCAAGTGGATCGGATTGGGACTCCACAAGAGTGGATCTACCGCGCTGTTTCACTTTATCAAAATCAACTTTTCCACCTATCGATACCGCAAGGAATTACGCTTCTTCAATCCATCGAGAGGTGAAACCTTTTTCAACAGTACCAAACCAATGAGATGTCGTTTTCCCAACATGAAATGTTATCTAGGAGATGGAGCACATGCTGGGCCGAAAGGAATCTTTGGTGATCTGACGGTCCCATTGACCTTTTACATTCACGCACCCTTGTTTGTCGAACAGGTACATCCTGGAGCCAAGTTCATTATTAATCTGCGAGACCCGATTGACCTGCTATGGTCTCGGTTTCATTTCAACAAAATGAAGACGACTGACGTGCGAGAATCCATTCTCATGGGACTGGAATGGTTTATGGATTGCCAGGAAACTTCGGAATGGAGGAAACAAACTGGTTTGGGATGGGATCCTGCCTGTTCCTTCAAATCCGCTGCTGCGGAAGAAATCGCAATCGAAGTCAATAACACGGATCTATCCACTGGATTAAAGCTTATTCGTGATGGACTCGTTGCGGATACCTTGCATTTATGGTTGGCCCGGTTCAATTATTCCCAATTCTTGTTTGTACCCAGCACTCTGCTGCGGAAGGAAACGGCCGCGCAGGATCTGTCCACTTCGATATCCAGCTTTTTGGGCATTCCACCCATTGACGAGAAGAATCCCAATTTTGTGACGCGAAACATAAACAACAAGACGTCATCGCATCTGAAGGATGTACATCCAGATGTGGCCGAGTTGTTGGAAAAATTCTTTCGGCCACACCGATACTGGTTGTCGCAACTGAGCGGAATACCGGAGGAAGACGTCTTCTAGTTGAAATGAATGAATGAACGAATGAATGAATGAAATGACTGAATCAGCCATGTGTGCCGCAGCATCATTCAGAAGTTATATAGATCGATGAAACTTGCAATCATCAATGTGGATTCCTTCCTTTCTGGTCCAATAGTTCGATCCAATGTTCTAGTATTTGCAAGAAGCAAAACAGTTGATCAACACGAGAAAGGTTGCAGAACAGATCATTTCGCGTACAAGAAAATGGCATCCCGGAGAGAATAAGTACAGCGTGTGGCACGGTACCGATTGCGACCATAACATTCTCCTTGTCAGTGAGTCTTTTGGATAGTGTTGAAAGTATGGGTTGGAGGTTGGAACTTATTGAGAGTCATAACAAGATTGCTATTCGATACAAAACTGAATCTATTGTTTTAAAATCGTATGGTGTTGTTATTGTGCAGGCTATATATGTAAGGTTCATTCTAGGACCAGCCAACAGGTGAAGGTTCCCCCTTGCAGTTTGGACAACGACGAATCGACTCCGTAATGACAGGGATCATCCAAGACGTGTCGCACTTGCAGGTTTCTGGTCTTGGCCAGTTGTACCACCGCTTGTACGACGCTAGTCTCCTTCTCGACAATATCTCGACCCCCACCCATAATACTAAAGCCCATCACCATGGGCCGATGACTACTACTCATCGTTATTCTTGTTTCATTCTTCATGATGACGACTGGCGATAATAAGGCCGCTTCGATCATTTCCAAAATCATCGGCACATGCCCCCCACAGCCATCAAAGTAGAAGGCCCCAAACGGTATGTGACGGAATTCGTTGTAGAGGGCATCGGCGGCAGAATTGTGAACCACATTGGAAGGATGACTTGCCCAGTATGTCTCTCGAAGTACCTCGCAGGTGGATTCGTGCCGATTGGCGACAAATAGTTGACCGATAGTAATAATCCCCGTCTCGTCATCATTGAGAAGACTTTTGGTTGTGGCGGCATCTGGACCATCCAAAAAAAAGACATTGACGGGCTCTGCTGTGTCACTTTTACTCTGAATGTATTCTACCAGCTTACCAAATGCTTGATTGTGTTGTCGTTTGAACTCGGCATGTTCCGGTGAAAAGAGTGCCGCATCGTATTGTTCTTCAAAGACGGAAGACTTCTCATACAGACCCTGCAGCTCGGCGTTCTCGGCCGCTGTGCGACTGGGCAAATTTTCTAGGATGGCAACGCGGTTTTCCCGTCGCACAGACTTCTCGACGGTCAGCTTCTTTTTGCCGTCATTCATTTCTCCAAAGGAGTAGGGGGCACCTGATGATGAGCTCAAAGACGCAGCGGCTACGCGATGTTGACGATGATGGAATTGGATCCCCGATGCGGTGATTCTGGTGTTGTGAAATGCCGAACATTTCAAAGCAACTGTGTGGTGATGTCTAAGGTGTAGCATTATTAGTACCGGTATAGTACCACTCCGTATCATCATACCCATCCGACCGGCTGGCCAGCGGCAGTGATAGTGTCCCATGAATTCTTGCGTATGTATATGTGCGGTCTGGAAGCGAAAACTATATGCGTTTCCTTCGCGTGCTTATTTGAAGGATATCTGTATCAAAGCAGACGATGAATACTATTTTGTAATAGGGTATATGGTAAAGCATCTGTCTCTCTTGTTATATTTTGGGCTAATATGTCATGGATCTCTAGAGTGGTAGACAATATGTGCAAACAAATCTGACAAATGAAAAGCCGATAGGCAAGGAGGCGAGAAATATGGTTTCTTAGTATTGAGGTTTCTGCTATTTACTACTGTATAGCGAGGATAGACGTGATCAGAGCTAATGCAATAAGCGGGACAAAATCCCATGCCGAGTAAGAGACCCCACCGTCACTGCTCGCTTGCGGTCCCTTTCCGTTCCAAACGGAGAATGTTCCATGACAGTCGGTAAAGAATCCATCACATGACACCCGAAAATCTCCTGGATAGCCCGAAGGACAGGGCTCGCAACTCTGGCATTCGGTGTCGTTGAATACCGCCGTGCAGGTACAATCACGATCCGGTTGGAAGGCGCGTGACATGACACCACCATCATCAGTGAGTGTCTCCAAAGCAGGACATTTCCAATCCACTGCTAGCCTAGGCATCGCAGCCAAGCCACTCCGGCCATCCGTACAGATTGCTCCGTCCGGACGATCGTGAGTATACGATGGATAGAACAATCCCGCGGGAACGTTGCACCGTGCAGTGTAACTGTCAAGATTTACAACTTTGGTGGCATCAAAAGGTCCACTGTGCGTACCACATCGAATATCGGCATATACTTTGTATGGCAACATGGGGTTAACGCTGCAATCGCAAGATTCGCCGTCGTATGTGGCAGTACAGCTGCAACCCCCGGATAAGCTGCAGGAATGATGCCCTCTTTCTCCGTCGAGCGTATAACATACGTAATTAGATTTTGAGCACGAGTCGATCGTTGAGCACAACTCTTTTCCGTTGTATGTAACACATTTTGTGTCTGTGCTGTTCGCTTTATCAAGATCCAAGACAGCTGTCGGAAAAATGTTCAAGCCGAAATCAAGCGAATCTTGGTTGATGACACCACACACGTTGGCCGTCGTCAAGAGGGCACAAAGGGCAGTGAAGACTCTTTGGTTCATGGTTCAACTCTTTTGAATGAAGGTTAGTTGCTATCTGTCAATGAAGTGTCAGCAGAAGAAGACTTTGCTTTCCGCGATGAGAGAGATGATAAGAGGATGTTGATGATGATGACTCTAAACTGCAGTTTTGCGAGCACAATCTTCGCGTTGTTTGTGTGTAGCTGTAAGGTTGGAATGGCACTTTTGATGTTACTATCCAAGGATTGGTGAGAGACAATGGAACCTCATGCTGCGGTGGAACCGGTACGTACTGTACCGTATGGATATAGTCTCACGAAATACTACAGCTACAGTATGACTACAAGAGAACGCGGCATCTCATACTGCATGACGATTCATTCCAGATTATGCAGCCACTATACTATGTTAGCTCTTTAGTTGTACGACTCACTCGACCAATCCACTTTTTACTCCACTTCTTCCATTTCTACACGCACATCTATCGGCTCCTTCCTCTCAACAATATTCGTATCGTACCAATACGATAGTATTCATAGTTCGCTTGTCAAACAAAGAAAGAAGCCAAAGCTTGTATCGCACAAACTATGGATCTTATTTTTCGATCCTTCGCACCGCACCCAACAGAAGATTATGCGTGTCCGACTAATTCTTTCTGATTCAATCTTCATTATATTCCACGTGGAAGTCTCCGGAATCATCATCCGTTGTGCAGACGGACGTCATGGCCTACTGCAAAATCCCAGTTTTTTCATCATTATCTGTTATATTATTATTACTACTGATCATTGATCATCATTATCCTTCTCCCATCGTAACAACAACAACAAAAACTACTACAACAAGAACAACAATAGATGAGTGACGCATTATGGACGATGACCATTCTGAAGACAGCGAGGATGAAGAGGAACCAAACAACTTCGATGAAGGATCCACAGTAGCCGAACTTGATAGCACCGATGATGAGGAAGACGCCCTGAATGCCGAGGGAGAAGGAAATGATGATCAAGACAGGATCACGGCACTGGTATATCATCACAGAAGGGACATTCGGAGTCGTCGGCTCGATGACCTGGTTTACCTTGTATTTGGCCGGTCCACTCGCTCCGTACCAGAAGCAGCCTTTTCAGAATGTCAGGCATTGCAGAACGTGACATTCTGCGAGGGCCTTCAAACCATTGGCAAAAAGGCATTCCGTCGGTGCCTATCATTGAGAACAATCTCCTTTCCAAAATCGTTGAAGACTATTGAAGAATGGGCATTTCTCAATTGTGGATTGGAATCTATCGAACTGAATGAAGGCCTTCAATGTGTTGGAGTACACGCATTTGCCTTCTGTCTGACTCTGAAAAAGATCAAGTTGCCGTCGACTCTCAATTACATATTTGACTCGTCGTTTGTCAGCTGTGGTCGCTTGGAGCACGTTGATTTTGGCACGGGCGTTAAAATTATTGGCCGCAATGCTTTCTTTGATTGTGCTTCGTTGACAGTCATTCATTTACCTAACTCAGTCCAGGTGATAAATTCATATGCTTTTGGAAATTGCACCAGTTTACTATCAGTTGAGTTCCCATCAACTGGGTTACGCACCGTTGACGCAAATGCCTTTGCACAATGCAACGTTTTGACCAATGCGGTAGTATCATCATCCCCAATTGAAATTGCCGAAAGTTGCTTCAGCATATGTGGACGACTGGAAGAGATGTTCCTACCAGAATTCGCCCACAATCCTTATAATAGATTTTACGCTTCCATCAAGAGACGATACGACCGATTTCCGATCCATGAGTTCTGTTACAAGCAGTCATATTTGCCACGAACAACAGCACTCGGCAATTTGATAGCCTTGCTGAATTCAGAATCATCATCAGACGATAATATACTGCAGCGAGTGGATGCAGCTGGCATGTCAGCTTTCCACATTTTGGCACTTTCGTCCCAACCTGAGATTGGTCTATTCCAGATATTACAAGCTTACTCCTGTCCTAGTAGACGGCATATGGAAGTCCCGGATAGGTGGGGAATCCGTCCAATTCAGTACATGTGCTCAAATTCGAGGATTCCAATGAGCGACCGAACGAGGCTGGTGGAGTATCTTGCCGAGGCCACTGTGATGCACCGTGCTCACAAGTTAGGATTGCCAAGTTGGAGAGTAGCCGTCATTTCCAAGGCTCGTGAGGTCTTATTTGCAGACGCAGAAACCATGACACTCCAAGGCAGTCAGCGTATTGACAAAATCTATCAAGTCTTGGAGCGGTATGAACTAATGGAAATGCTGTCTTCGTTGGAGTTAAGGATCTGGTATTGGAAAATACTACTAAAAGAAAGCCATGAAAAATCCGAGGATACATTAGATGACCGTCATCCAAAAAGGATAAAGTTTGACGGACGCGAATCAGCTCGGGTGAACTGTGGTGCTGACATTATCGTTGGCAACGTGCTGACATTTCTGAGAACTCCCTCGTACGCATAATAATTTACACGAAGGGAAATGCTCTGGCCATCGTTGTGTTGCACAACATACCTACCTGAGATCAGTATCCTGTGCCCTCTTTATCATCTAATTCTCTTTCAAAAAATTCTGCAAATAGAACTACCCAGTATGCTCTGATGTTTAGATAGGCGATAAAGGATACTCCACGCTTGCTCCACGTACTCGTAGAGCAAAGGCGATGTCTGTACGTGCTTCCACCGAAGCAGAAAACATCGTACAACAACAATAGAGCGTATTTAGTTTGCATACAATGTTGACCCGTTGCTATCATCTATATGCTGTATATCATCGTCGAAAGCCAACATTAACATATTGAATATCTCACATGACACCATCGCACCGGCGAGACAATGGACGACAATGGAAATAATGAAGAAGAGAGCGTTAATTCTGATGACTACGACAGCGTCAATGACCCACCTCTCATACCCGCGTCATTCGTTTACCGCAACGAAGAAGATTTGAGCCATCTTGACAAAGGTTCCACCACTTGCGTTGTCTTTGCCCGTGGAATCCAAGTCGTACCAATGGCTGCCTTTGGGGGATGCCATTGGTTATCACAAGTGTCTTTCCCTTCCGGTCTAGAAAGAATCGATTCTCTTGCCTTTGACTCATGTTTCTCACTGGAGAGAGTGTCATTTCCATCAAGCTTATTGGTGATCGGGTCATATTCCTTTGCCGACTGCCGCTCTCTGAAGCACATCGAGCTCAACGACGGTCTCCGCACAATCGGTGAGCGAGCATTTTTCATGTGTAGAGTGGAGCGAATAGTGATCCCTTCATCCGTCAAAGCAATTGGTACTGGTGCGTTCATGATGTGTTCTAGACTGGAATTCGTGGATTTTGGTGAAGGAGTTGAAACAATTGGAGAGTCGGCGTTTGGATGCTGTAGTAGGATGGCCAAAGTCCGACTGCCACCGCGCATTCGATCTATAGAACACAGCACGTTCGCTACATGTCGTTCATTGCTTTCTGTGGAACTCCCATTGGGATTGCAGTATATCCGACAAGGCGCATTTTCAAGGTGCCTTGGCTTGAAAAACTTTGCCATCCCATCGTCTGTCGAAGAAAATGGAGAAGAAGCTTTTGACGAGTGTCCATGGGTGTCAAAGGTACTCTATCCTAAGAATTGGGTCCCATTCCAAGAAGAGACCATGTTTCCAGATGGCTTTCATTCGAAACCAAGAGAAGAAAGGGCTTCGCTGTTGCATCAGACATATGTCAAGCGCTTTTATGGATACCCACTCCACGAGGCTTGTTACAAGCAATCATATCTTCCTCACATGGTTGCCGTGGAGAGTATTCGGGCTGTACTTGCTGTCGTGCCGGACTCTATTGACCAAGTCGACGGCTTTGGCATGTCCGCATTCCATATCTTGGCCCTTTCCTCCAAGCCTCGTATTAGCTTGTTCCAAATGCTCCATGCTCTCTGTCCTCGAAAGCTCCTTGATACCCAGGATGGAACTGCGTGTCACCCAATTGATTATGTTTGTGCGAATACCAGCATAACGTATGCTGAAAGGCGAATGCTGATTGAGTTCCTAGCTCAGGTGACAATAATGGAACGTATATCGAAACTAGGACTGTCTGTATGGAGAAGCCGTGTGATGGCCGGGGTGAGGGATCAACTTCTTTGTGACAGCAGCGATGAAATTTCTGTTGCTGAAGTCTACCGAATCTTGGAGCACTACGAGCAGCGAGAGAATCTCTCTCTGTTGGAACTGAAAATTTGGCATTGGAAGCTAGGAGATCAAGAGGTGGCGGTGAAGGAAACTGTTGCTACATCTAGAGAGCGAAAGAAGCCAAAGTTCGATTACCGTCAGGTTGCTCGGGTAAACTGCGGTGCGAACACTATCATTTCCAATATGGTACCGTTCTACGGAATGGAGAAATTGGACGATTAGCTTAAACATGATCCTCTTTAATGTGCTAATGTTTTTGTAACTGTATGGAAAAGGCGGCATGGTTCAGAGGCAATGATAACATATAAAAATGCTGAAGCTTATACCGTAGAGGTAGATGGAAAAGAATTGGAAAGTGCCCGTAAAACTGAAGGTCCTGCTCAGACCAGCAACAGTCTCCTGCCCTTTGGACTCCACGTACCAAGAGAATTTGCGGTTCACCATAAAAGCTTCTACTTTGTCTTTGCCGTTTCTGTTATTGACTCATCATTCTTCGACATTCGATTTTTGACGGCCAAACCAATCAGAGGCACAAGACCCACGACAAAAATCGACCACTTTGCCATGTTGGCAAGTGACATTAGTTTCAGAAGCATTGGTGCCAGAGGAGTTGGAAATGCATTGGTCGCTTTTCGAAGAAGAATCGTCTCGATAAAATCACCCATCATGGCAAAGGCAAAAATCAAGGATAATGGCGTCAATTTCGGATTTGCTTTCAAACACTGACCATACAACAAGGCACCACTTAATAGCATGTAGGCCCACATATAGACTGTAAGATCCCAAGCATTCGATGCAAGATATAATGGACGACCCCCTTCGCCAATCCCATCGAGCCAATTCTGTAAGGCATCCTCTGAAATACCAAACCACAAGTCAGGTGGATTGCCCTGGTCGGGCGCTGCTGCCGTCAAGGCATCTGCTTTTTGTTTCATGACTGCCACAGATATAATTTCCAGGGCGGTGAAGACAAGAAGGAGCGGAGTGGAATCGGAGATGTAGGCAAATACGGTGAGCAACATGTTGAAGAATATGTCAACCTCGCGTGTTATATTGAATTTTGTGTGTTTGTTGTCATAAAATTGAGATGGAAAGATCCATGACTCATTGAGTCGACTGCGCGATTGAATTGCGCAAAACATATCCTGATGGTCCGTTTCATTGACTTCGTCACAATCGGTAACATATTGTACCATCATTGTTGTGGTTGCACGTCTCAAACCAAACCTAGAATGCTCTCGGGTCTTTCACTGCCCCATCGTTTGACTCTTTCCATACTCTTTGCAACCACAATTCTGCCCACTCGAGCGTTTACGCTATTGCCTCGTGCTACACCTATTACCTGTCACAAAACATTCACTGTTAGAAAGATGACCTCAAAACCATCCGATCCTCTAGCAGACGTTGGTTTGCCAGCGCCAGTGCTTCTTGGAAGTGCATCCTTTACACGGAAACTAATATTGAAAGAAATGGGAGTCAAATATCACAAACTGGTCCGCCCTATTGACGAAAAGGGTTTGGGGGATCGCAGCAAAGATGCTCCAACCGATCTTGTACTTGCCTTGGGCAAGGCCAAGATGGACCACTTGGTAAATGAGATCAAGGCTGGAAATTGCAAAGACGACATGCCAAAAGCCAATGATGCTGGAACACAAGAATGGGTCGTCCTCACGGGGGATCAAGTCGTCACTTGCAATGGTCAAATTTTGGAAAAACCCGAATCCATTGGGGAGGCTCGAGATTTTGTATCCAGGTATGCCAAAGATGCACCTGCAACGGTTGGATCTTGTGTATTGACGCATTTGCCTTCGGGCGTTCAAGTATCTGGGGTGGATACCGCCACGATTCATTTCAAACCAACGGTACCAGCCGATTTGATTGATAAGCTGATTGAGTTGGACGAACCCATCATGAGCTGTGCCGGAGGGCTCATGATTGAGCATCCATTGACAAGGGAACATGTCGAGAAGATTGATGGCACAGAAGACTCAGTCATGGGATTGAGTAAAGATTTGGTACTAAGGCTACTCGGTGAATTAGCCGAAAAAGTCAAGGCGGAATCGAAGTAAATTTGTCAACTCGCAGTTCTTGCATTGAAATTATATAATAGCTTGGCCTCTCCTTTGGCATTGAACACATGAATTTGTATCCTTAGCTATACAGGGGACTTGGATGAGATGAACTGTACCTTCAAGAATCACCCCCTGAATTCCTGAATCGGGAAAGTGCGAATGCATGTGTCTGGTGGTAGAGGTCTGGTGTAATCGGAGTTCCCCATGGGTGAGGTCCATTCTCTCGACTTCTCACAAATTGTCGGGCTCAATGTACTCATAGTTTCCTGAAGTTGACCCAGTTGCCTCAATCGAGTCAACTTCCTCTCCTTCAACAGTGATGGAAAGTGTCCATGTATCGCTCTCTCCAGTCTCCAGAAACGAGTCAACATACCACTCGTAGGTTCCAAACGTGCTGCCGCTGAATCGAATGTTTTCCACATGAAAGTCAAATCCAAATTGATCGCCGTTTGGTTCAAAGATTCCACCAGAATCTGGATCATTTTGAAACGCTGAAACTACCGAACCACCAGGTGTAATGACTGCCAGATCAATATCATCGTTTCCTGTCCATGTCAATGTGAACCTTGGAGTACCATCTCTGAGACACTGCCGTTGGAGGCAGACTTCACCAGTCCCACAGCTGGAGTTTGCACAACACTCGTAGACACTTTCGTCACAGGGTGGAGGTTCTCCAGAAGGAACCTGCGACGGGATCTCTGTGAGCCGCGTAGGTTTGAAAGTGTTGGTTGGATGTTGCGAGGGTGACGCCGACGGAAGACTACTGGGAAATGGAAATGGCGCATTGGTGGGGGCGAAACTGCCGTCTCCGTCAAAGGTATAAGCAAAGGTCCTCGACTGTCCCTGCCCCCTTTGCCAGCCAACAAGTTGCGAGTAAGCAAAGACTTGCACCTCCCATTCGTCTCTAGCGCCCCGAGTATTCACAGCATTGACAGAATATGAATATGTTCCCAAAGGTATGTTGGAACCCCTGAATACGGCATTTTCAGCGTGGAAGCCAAAGTCCTCGTCGGCAATTATATCGACTTCAAAGGACCCACCGGATGAATCGTCGGACGGATTTGCATTTGACAGCTCGGTTCCATCTGGGGTTAGGACCAATAGATCCACGTTGTCATTTCCTGTCCATGACAAGGTGAAGCGTAGGGTACCTTCCCGAAGACACCTTCTCTGAAGGCAAACTTGATCTGCCAAACAGTCATAGGACGCACAACATTCAAAAGGACATTGTCCGACGTCCGTAGGCGATGGGACTATGGAAGGCGTCGGCGGTCGGAACGGATTCGGAGCCGAGCTGGGCGAAGGATCAGGTACTGCTGCCGGTGGTACATAGAAAAAGTTTTTCGACTCTCCAAACCCAGTGAACTCTTGGACTTTGGTATCCTTTTCATAGACCGCTAAAGTCCAAGGGTCTCGACTAGAACCTCGCTTGAGCAGTGAGTCCACGGAATACTTGATAGTCCCGCTTAGATACGGAAAGTAGATGCTGTCAACATTCAAATCATAGTCTTGTCGGTTCGCATTCTTCTGACGTCTTGCACCAGTCGCAGCATCGTAATTAATCCCAGCGGACAAAACTTGTCCATTTGGGATGGTGACGACCAACGCCAGGTCATCGTCGCCAGTCCAAGTTAAGGTAATTCTTGGATATCCTCGTTCAAGGCATACTCGGTTTACACAGACTTGGCCCCCATCACAATCCGATTCGAAACAGCATTCATCCGTCAGTGGGGTGCATCTGCTTCCATCATAGGGTGGCCGCTCGGGCTCATCAGAACCAGCACGAACAAAAGGAATAGTATCCGACTCTCCAGCACCAGATTTTGTATCTATCAGGTTTCCGTCACTGTAAATTTGCAACGTCCAAGAGTCATCCGAACCATTCCTTCGAAACGAACGAACTTGGAGCGAGTACTCCCCGAATGGAGATCCAGCAAGGGGAAAGTAAACATTCTCAAAGTGGGATCCAAGTTCCTCTTGATTGTTATCTGCCTCAAAGATGCCACCGGAGAGTGGATCGAAAATCAGAGATCGCGACAGAGTTGTACCCAGTGGTGTGTCCACAATAAGGTCAAGATCGTCGTCTCCGTCCCAAGTCAGAGTGAATCGCGGACTGCCATCTCGAATACAATATGCTCGAACGCAAAAATCTCTGGCGGTTGGGCAATCAAAATCCGAACAGCATTCATCTGTCAGAATGGAACAGACACTGCCAGTCGGTCTCTGAACTGGTGCTGGAGTAGGCAAGGGTCGGGAAGTAGGCAGGCTATTTGGTCGATTGGTGGGCTGCATAACTGGAGGCGACGAGGGCTTGCTGAACTGGAAATCACGGGAAGCACCAACTCCAGTCTGGAAGAAGACAGTTTCTTGATCATTGACGACTTCCAAGGCCCACCTATCAGCTTCACCCTCTGTGGACATTGGGCGGACTGAGAATGTGAAAACTCCCGCACCAGCTGCCCATTCTGGAAAATATGTATTCTCTACATGATATCCTGAACCAAGCTGATCTGTTGGTTCTCCCACTCGACCTCCAGTGGTCGGATCAAATTCAATAACGAAGGAAAGTGAAATACCGCTGGGTGTTCTCACAATTAAGTCGTAATCGTCATCTCCTTCCCAATAAAGTGTAAACCTAAGCCCTCCATTCACAACGCAATTTCGATTCACACATGCATTATCAGGGTCCGAACAGTCAGAATCAATGCAACACTCGTCAACCGCCGCGTTGCATGGCAATGATATAGGCGGTGTCACTGGAGACGGTGGTAGCGGCGAGGACGATGATGGATTCAATCGCTCATAGCGAAAGGTTTCGGAACCTCCTGCTCCCTTGTGCCTGGAAACCTCGCCCTGTTCATCGTATACCGTCAGTGTCCACCCATTGACTCGTTCCTGTGTGGAAAATTCAGCGACAGCGTAGGTATATGTACCGATTGGAGCTCCTGGAGAAGGAAAGTATGTGTTCTCAGTGTGAAATCCTAAGCCTTCTTGGTCCACAACTTCACCAACTCGACCCCCAGTAGTCGGATCAAAACCTAATAGAACGGAAAGAGCAATGCCGCTAGGTGTGGTCACAATCAAATCGTAGTCGTCGTATCCATACCATTCCAAAGTAAACCGAGGATATCCTTTGTCAATACAATTCCGATTGACACATATATTGTTGTCCTCAGCGGCACAATCTTGATCTGTGCAACATTCAGCACCCTTCAGTATAGAACATTCGAAATTGACTGGTCCATCACTGTTCTGCGCCGTTCCAATCATGTTGTATTGATGGGTTTGTGCTCCAGTTTGAAATAAATTGGCCGTCCTGAAATTTCTCTCTTTTGATTTTGTTTCTGTTGTAGAATTCGGCCTTTCGAATTCTTCTGGCCCAATGCCATAACGGGTAGTCGAACGCACGAGCTGTCGGTCTGCAGTATCATCATTGTTCGTCGTGTTGGTATCCTGTGTAGTGTGTTCTTGCCCAACTGACGGCTCGGCTCGTGTCATTACCACGATGACAAGAGAAGTGAAAGCAATCATAGCTTGGATCATCGGCATCATGCCGAGGCCTCTCAGTGTCGGATTCAGGACTTGGCGGGAGGGATTTTGTTTGTTGGTTCAACATCGATCGTCATGGATGTTCGTTCTATGAATCCTCCCGCCAAAAATTCAACGGCTCGATCGACGGACGAAGATCAGACACGCCTAAAAAATTCGGAACATGATGTTTTAAAAATGAGGCACAAGTACTACTTACGTATTGATATATAATGGCTATTATACACTACAGTGTTTATGAATTTCTATAATCTACCGAAGCTGGCTTAGCTGGCTTCGATAGGATTTGTAAGGTCTAGCAGGTTGCTAAAACTGGAAGCCAGCCTCGTGTGTGGATCACGTGTTGTAATCTATTGAAGCTGGCTTCGAAAGGGGTTGTTTATTGTAACGACGGATCCAAGTTCTAGCATGTTGCTACAACTGGCAGCTTCGTATATGGATCCCATATTGTTTTGGAACGACACGCAGGCCTCAACGTTCTGGACATGGGATCTCTCATTCACAATGGAAATCATTTCCACAACTTGGTCATCAAGAGCTCCTCTCACTGTTGTTTCCAGTTTGACCACATCAATGAACGTGTCATCTAGGCATTTGCGAAGGTTGTCGGGTTCATCTTGCATCAGGCAATCGGCGTATCCAAAGGAGAACAGGAAGCTTCTTCGGATCAATAGTTGGAAAAGCTTTTGAAAGTGCAGTGCTTCTACTGTCGCATAGCCTTCTGCTAGGTCCGTGCTTTCTGCAAGATGGGTGTCAGAGAACAAGGTACTGTTTGATCGTTTCGATTGGATCATTTCATGTAGGGCCTCCAGTTCCATTTCTTTCACTTCCTCGTCTGCCAAGTGCTTTTCCGAAGTATCGTCGAAGAAGTCGCCAATTCTAGCAAAGGGAATCAGTACCTTCTTCTTGGTTCCAAATTGGTAGTACGAAATCACAAGGGCCAAGTGTGGAATGATACCCTCGCCCTTGTGGCCCTTGGCAATGATCAAATCGGCTTCAAATTCATGAGTCGTCATGTATTCGTAAAGGTCCATACTGACACCATCACTCGCTCCAAGAATATCCTTCCATTGGAGCAAAAATTGCAAGTTTTCAAAAATGAAGGATTCGGAAACTTTACCAAAGCAAGAAAATACCCCAAGTCTCTTTTGCCAACCAGGTATAGCAAAGACGGGAAAGGAGCTTTCACTATCAAATGGAAGATCTTGAAAGATTTCCGAGTAAATGTCGAATGGTGCCGTCAACAGATCATCATACAAGGATTGATTGTAGTGGTAGTTCATTCCTGTCGGAAGAACAATCACTTCCTTTACATCTTCATGATCTAATCGTTCGTTTGCTCGTTCTTCCTGGGGACGACGATCTTCGACAGCTTCAGATGTCGTGTTTCCCTCGTCGTCTTCATATCCATGTACTACCTCATCGTGATCTTCGATGAAATCTTCAATCTCGTGCACCATGTCATCGGTAAGATCGTTTCGTTCTTCCCAATGTTCCAAGTCGACGTCGACGTGCTTCAAGTGTCCATCTTTGGCCATTTTGTGCATGTGCAAGTGACCATGTGCATGGCCATGGTGATGAGTTTGAAGAGGCGTCTTATCTTCTTGGCCGTATACTTCTTCTTCGTGATCTTCAATGAAGTCTTCAATTTCGTGCTTGATGTCATCGGTAAGGTCGGTTCGTTCTTCCCAATGTTCCAAGTCGACGTCGACGTGCTTCAAGTGTCCATCTTTGGCCATTTTGTGCATCTGCAAGTGTCCAAGTGCGTGACCATGGCGCTTATTAGGCTTGTGAGGATGGTCAACGAGTGGAGTTTTTTTGCTTAGATTTTCTTGTTTGAGACCCTCCTCGGTCTTGTCAGGATAGTGCTCGCTTGTGATTGTCACTCTTCCTCTGAGATTTCGAGTGACTGTTTGTGTGACCCGAGAATTGTTATCGGCGTCAGCAAAGGCAAATAATGCCAACGAAATAATTATAAGTTTTTCCATCTTGCAACCAGGTGCTTCCTTTGCACTTGTGGCTGTGGCTGATGGTGGATCCACCACTCTCGAAATCGCGTGATATTGTGGGTGCCAGATTTTTTGTCCACCGAAAAAGACTCAACTTCCTCTTGGTGCACGCCGGCCGATTGAGACTAATTCTGCTCCAAGATATCCCATATTTATATTTTTCTATTTTTTATATTAAAAATCCATTTTCTTATTGTACCAGTACGAGTACTCGTACACGTATCGCTGGTACTCGTGGCACCTTAGAGCATATTATTGTGTGCAGAAACGCAATGATACCAGATACTGTACCTCAGTTGATATTCCGTCATTTTCACGCGTACACACACGAGGTTTAGGCAAGCAAATTGTCCTTGAAGCATAACTGAAGGGAGAAGACAACAAAACAATGAGATACATCCTAAGAAAAGCAGAGGGTGAAACCGACGTGCCCTCTCTAGATGAGTCATATCACTTTGATGACCTAATCACGGCCGTCAAGCAGGAAATCAATAAACTGTCAGCACCTTGCGAAACGTATCCAAGTTGCTCTGATTGCTATGGCGCTGGAGAGTACAATCATTGTCTATTCGATTACAGAAAGGGTGAAATCATAATTAGCTGTCAAGAATGTCGGGGAATGATGCGAAGTTTTAGTGTATTCGTAAAAAAAGACACAAATAAACCAATTCGTCACATGCGAGTTGACAGAGAGACTGCAAGGATCATCCAAGCGTTGAAACTCCCACGATACATGATTGGGGTGATACCCAAGACTCTTTCCTCATTGATAGCAGGTAACCTCGGATTAGCTGACAACCTAAAGATATTGGAGATGATGAGTGTACCACTCTCCCAGGCCAACTTGGATTTCCTCTGCAATGTTGTTGTGACGAGTACGACGCTGGAGCAGTTACATTTATCTTGCTGTTGGCATGAGGGGGGGTCTTTATTCTCTCGACTTTCCAAGAAGTATAAATCTCTTGCCAAAGCCATCGGAAGTTCTGAGTCTTTGCAGATACTTCGCATCTCAAGGACGGTTATGGTCTACGAAGGATTTCTGGCAGATTTGTTTGCAGGTAGTGCACACAAGCTAAAAAAGCTTATTCTAAGTCGTTCTATCATCGAATCTCCAAGCATACTGGCCGTTCAAAATGCGCTGGAGCATCCGGAATGCCAGATACAGCACCTGAACCTGTCCGGTATCCCCCAAGGCTCAGATATCACCCCAATTGCCAACGCTCTGGAAGTGAACACGTCTCTGAAGGAATTCCTTCTATCCTCCAGGTACCATTTACCCGATGATAGCGCGGAAGCCCTCGCAAACGCCCTCCGCGTCAACTCAACGCTGGAATCAATAAAAATGTGTGATGTGGATATTGGTGCTGAAAATAACACATTCTCGACCGAAGGATGGAAATCATTCTCGAAGGGACTAAAAGAATCACAAGGCATTCATTATCTTGACATATCGGGTAATGATTTTGTAGTGAGAGGCGTACTGAATCTTTTTAGGGCGACAGGCATACAGTATCTCCTAGATGGTCTAGAAGAGAATCAAAGCGTCACTCATTTCACCATGCAAGACATTTCAGCCGACCCACATTCATTTGATCTCATTGGAGATTTCATTCAGACTCGAAACTTCAAGCTCTTGAATATTTCCAATATCTCCAACTCCGAGTACATGTTCAGGTCATACAAGGGCCTGCCGGACCGCTTCCTTTGGTCCGTCGCCCATCGTGTAGCAAGCAACGGTGGTATGGAAGTCTTGAAAATTGCCAATATCAGGATGGAGGGGCCGAATGGGTTAAAAACGATCATCCGTGCACTTGCAAATAATACAACTCTTCGAGAACTGGATATTTCAGAAAATCGGGAAGATCATCTATTGAGGGAGCTTGCTGATGCACTGACAAGCAATCAGCATCTATTGAAACTAAATCTCAAGGATATCGCTCTTGCTACGGACGATTTTCAGTATTTCGCAAAGTGCTTACCGAAGATGAAAGGTCTCGAGTCCATTGTGTTCGGGGAACTAAATGATACTTTTGCTGATGCTCTCCTCAGTGGTTTGAAAGACAACGACACGTTGAAACATATGGATGGTCCTTTCGGGGATGGAAGCTGTTGGCGAAAAATTGATTTCTATCTACGATGGAATCGTGGTGGAAGAAAAATTCTGAAGATGGCGCCTCCCTCGGTCTTGTTGCCAAAGATACTATCAAGATCGAGAAACGGCCCAGACGTGCTTTTCGAGATTTTGAGGGGGATTCAGTTGCACGCATAGCCCATAATTGTAACCTGGTACGTTCAAACATTGTGACATGATGCTCGTTGCCACAGGACCAGCAGAATCGCCACTTCATTCCATCTGGTTCTCCCAAGGATGATCACAGCACTGCATCATGGGGGACTTTCCTACCAAGCAACAGTGCCCTTTCAAAAAGCTTGAGTCTTTGAGACACCAGAGACTCTCTTGCCTATCAGGCCTTGGGCGGAGGTCCAGCAGGGACGAATTAAACAAAGTTATTGTCTTTCTAGATGTACATACTCGTACAGAATATAAGCTTCAAAAGGATTTGTTCTTGCAATCTTGCATATAAAATATAGTATCCAGTGGATGTCATCTAACGTAGACGGAAGAAAGCGGTCGAACCAATGGACTCAATAGTGACTCCATGTCATCTCAGTATTGCACCAGCAACCTAAGTCCGATCTACACATATCGAACTTGTGTGCAAGTATACTGACAGAAAGATAGAGTTATTTCTTTCTTTATAATCAGTTTTATTGTTATTACATTTAATCGCAAGAGTATCAGTTGTCTTAGGCATCTTTTACGGTGGATTGTTTGAGCTTAGCCGACAATTTCACAAGTTTTCCAGTCCTCCAGCCTTTCCGACAACAACAACAGCAACAAGAATGCCCAGTCAATCTTTCCTCTCCAAGAAATTTGCCGTAGGTGAATTTTTGAACCTCCGCGATTCGATTACGAATCTCCCCTATGAAGGGAAACTCAACTATCATCTCGCTCTTGACAACAAGTGTCCAACTCTCAAGAACCTCCAAAGTTCTTATGGATTTCCCGTCGAGCGGCTCTCCGAAGGCAAGCCCCTCTACAGAGTAACATGCCCTGAGGATTTCCGGCCAGCAAGAGAGCGATATGCAGAGTTAGATGCGGAATTCAAGAGATGGAATGACCCAAGTTTGACTTACCATCAGCGTCTGATGCTTGGTGAAACCAAACCACCAGGATTTGCGCTAGTTGTTCGGAAAGGGGCGGACGGAGAGCCTTGTCACCTATGCTTCATCTCTGCTCCGGTAATGACAAAACCGAATACGAGAGCAGACAGTGGTTTCGGTGCACCATTGTTGGCTGATATTTTTGAAGCCACGGTGACGAACCACTTGAAGTGTCCTCGGCCAGTTGATGAACCGAATCACTTGATGTTGGGTTCCCTGTGTGGTACCACCTTAGGTGTATCCCTGGACGAAGGACGTCGGGCTTTTGCAGAAGCGTTGTTTCCTGTGATCATGTCTGATGGTTTGGCCTTGGGTCAGAAACCGCTGAATGGCGATTCGTGGAAAATTTTAATTTTTCCATTTATGTCAGAATGCCCAGTTGGTTTCGTTTGGCCAGCTACAATTAGCTATGCCGAATTCTGTGATTCTCTGGAGAATCGCAATAGTAAGGTTTTTGGGGGATTGTTGCATCTTCTCGGCACCCAAAAAGCGGCAATTAAAAATTGGTTTGACGCCGTCAATGCTAATTCTCAGGCGTTTGGTGTACCTGTGGTATCGGCTCTTCCTCTGTGGGATACTTTTCCAACTATAGATAACCCTAATGGACAATCGCTGATTGGTGATTGTAAGCAGTTGGCACCGTTTCAGGTCCAACAAGATCGTTTCTTGCGCAATCATTTCTCTCAAATTGTGAGACGTGGACCTATCGCTGCCCAATCCAAGGCGTTCCAGATGGCGCGGATGCAGTATCATATGTTCCTTAAACGCGGAACATTGGAATATCCATTGGATCAAGGTGGTGGTGGCACCCTATCTGCTGAATGCCAACCTTTTCTGAGTCAAATGATGCGACCCATGGATGGATGGAACGATGATGGCCCGAATTGGTGTGCCAACTTTACACTGGACCCAGTGGAGGTCCCGTCTCCCTTCCATCTTTATCCAGTCAAAGATATTCCCAAAACAGCAAAAGCACCTCCAGGTTATAAACCACAACGTCTGGTGCGACCGGTGGAAGAAGAACCAGGAGAATCTTTTGATGATTTTCTAGCAGCTTCTGAAAAACTACATTCAGGTGAGCAATTGGACGATCCAGTTGATTCCTCTTCCGATACGGAGGAGGTCGCATATGTCGCTACACTAGGACCACCACCCAATGATGGTGGTCCACGAAGGGTGACGAATCCTACTGCAGGTGGGCCGTATGCACAGATGGCAGCGACCCCGAGACCACCAACTCGTGATCCGACAACAGGACGCCAAACGGGGGTATCATGGTCAACGTCGCCATCTTTTCTTGCACCTGTGCCAGCTGTCTCTCCTCCTGAAGATGACGACGCCGGTTATAATGTTCATGCAGGGGATCCATTTGCACCTACTGTAACACCATTAAAGAGGCAGCATCTACCATTTCAACAGTCTGGACGAACGACTACACCGC